GCATACCCGTGTGCTATCTAACATCCCCCCCCCCCAGCCATGCTATGCTCCATGATCTGTGGTGGGCAAGGTGTCAGGACACCTGATGATTGATATGGTCCAAAGTATGGACAATCCCTGCTGTACTATATTTAGAATATTTTGTACCCTGTGTGTGTGCTATGGCTCACTTAGTTTCTTGTGGCGCAAATTTTAGCTGTGAGCAATGCACCTTTGTCAGTGCCATTGCTCTGATTTGTGCCAGGTTCGCTCATTGGCCTCTGAGACAGCTCGTCAATTCTCCAGGCCTTCGAGCAACCAAACTTTTGACCTTGATTGGTTTGCAGTGGACTTCAAGGAAGAGTGGTCGGCATTTGATGGAAGAATATTGGTAAGGCAAGATTTTTGGCAGAAGTGGTGGGTTGATGGGTTTTGACGTCTCTGAATGTTTTTATATATCTGTGAACTTCCAGTATAGCAGTGTACTTGAGAAGAGTGCTTCTAAAATGCTGCATGTTTGGGCTGGTTGTCAATCATGGCTACGTTGCAGGCAGTTCAGGATACAGCAAACACCCATGGCAGCTACACAGTCCGATGTGTTGGGCAGTTCTGCAAAATCTTGTTCTTATTGATTCCTAGGGTCCAACCAAAACTGTCAAAGGGCAGCAAACCCCACTGGATGAAGTACCTATTGTCTACACTGCAGGAGCACTAAAATCTTGATGCCACAATGAAGGTGGATAGAAAAATGTTTGCTCGATTTGAGCTCTGCCTTGTACGCAACTGGAAAGCTAGGTACTGGGTAGTAATTCTCACCCACGGGGTGTACGTTTGCCACCAATATGCTGAGTGATTTGAAGTTTATAGTCACCACTGAAGAGGCATTGTGGGGACGTTCTCCAGTCAGTGCAAGTCTGTTGACGATGTCTGTTATTCGAGTTTTTCCAAATGGATGCCAAGAGGATGCTTTTGGTGAACCAGGTTCACCAGACAACTTTTGTTGTGCGGTGTCTGAAGTGGTTGCAATCGAGGTACACATCCCACTCAATGGGAATCACGATCGTCGGCCATTCGATGGGTGGTTTGGTTGCATTGGCGGCTCTGTCAAATGCCATCAAGTACCTTGACATAGGTAGGAAGTGTGATGTGCAGATGACGTCTTGTTGTACAGCAATACAGCAATTGTGAATGTCCATATGCACAGTCCTTGCACTGCAGAGAGCAAAGTTTTGTGGCACTCACTTCTATCCTCCAGAAAAAGCAGACACGAAATGTGCAAACAGGTTTGCAGGGCAGCTGCATCTGGTCCACGCCCTGGAAGCTTACCTGGACATACCTGGATCCAGTTGGGCATCTGTTTAGACATGCTCGCCCATATTGATAGTGCCATATATCTGGTATACTTGGTGGGCATGTTGGTGCAACATTGAGGCACAGCACGAACAATGCAGCTGGGATCGAAGCGAATCTGCAGTGTCTGAAACAAAGGGGACTAGTTGTCCTCCTTGAGGATTCACCCTGTTGGCAACTGCAGCGTGTGCCATTGGGTGGTGATGCAGATCGGGATGCCGTAGGACTGGTAATTACTTTGGCTTCGCCACACAGCAGGGCACCGCTGATGACTCAGCCAGCCATGGCCCGCTTTTATGCCTCTTTGCAATCCAGAGCAGGTTCCTTGCACGTTCCCACTGTGTCCATATCAGGAGGATGGAAGGATTTGCAGGTACCATCGTCCATGGTGCTTCTCCCAGGTCAGACATCCACAGTCACTTAATTTGCATGCAACGTCTGCTGCTTGTCTGCTTGTGTCGCAACTCAGTCAAAGCAAATTTGTGTTCCATTCAAATTAGTCGACAGCTGTTTTGCTGTGTCCCAAGTGTGTCCGGGTATCAAAATGAAGAAATCGACTGCCGTGGATCCTAGGCTGCAGCTTCTACCATCGAAGGCCCCAGGATGGACCTTTCCACTGTGACATCTAACCCATGTGTCAGTTGATCCCTAAACAAGGACATGTTCTTGTGGGGTGTAGACTTGGCAGTTGTTGTCAACAATTGAACAGCACCCAGGAAGCAGAACATTTCTGCTGCACTCCTTGTGGTGCATACTGCCCTAACAGCATGTGCCTTGGTCTCCGTTGTGGCCAAAATTAGCCCGAAGTTATCAGATTTTGTGGCCGAATTTGGAATGGGCATGGCTACTCACTTCTGCTGCTGTGATACACCTTTCGGCTGATGGATGTGGCGTTGGAATGGCAAGTGATACAGTTGACAATTTTCTCCTGCAGCTGATGGAAGTGACTACAGGGTCTTCAGCCCCTGCCCACAGGTTGCGTGGTTGATTGTATCAACGGGATTGTTTTATTTCATGTTTTGGCCTCTTCTGTCCTATGGACTGCTGCAATTTTGAGCTAGGGGTACTGATTTGGGCTTGATATCATGCAGGTGCTCAATTTGCTATACAGCAGGAGATGTGCATGATCCCAGGTGTATGGGTGTCTGCCGACCATCAATGCATCGTATGGTGCAACCAGCTTGTCGTGCACCTGTCATCCCTAGTGTTATCCTGGGTAGATGTCCAGAATCAGCTTGCAGCAGTGCCTGTGCCTGAGCAGGATCGCTCACAGAGACGCATTGGGGTTCTGCACAATCATCTTCTGAGGCCAAGTGCACTTGGCAGTCTGGATAATGCTGTGTACAAGCCAAAGGGTGTGCTCAAATATGGTGCCTGCATGTCCCCGTTTGTGGACGATGGAGTGTTGCAGGACAAGCAGATATTCCTAAGTGGGGATGAGCTTCACCTCAAAGCTGGAGATTTGAAGGTGTTCACCCTGCCTTACTGTCTTTCTGTTTCTTGCTGACTCTGTGCAGTTTTTGTGTTTGCACACATCCCTTAGCTAGCTGTTTGAGCATTCGTTGATGGTGTTTGTCTGTGAAAGTGCAGGAATTGCCTGCCACCAAAAGGACGAATCAGAACTTTTCGAGCCACCAACACATTCAATGTAAAAAGACATGCATTGTGGAATTACCTGACTGTTGTCACTTGCACTGTTTCCCACCCGTCTTGGAGTTGTTGTGAACGATGACTGCAACATCCATGGGAGGTGTATTGTGTACTGGTTCAGAGCATAGTTGCTCATCTCCAACACGTGAACGTCCTTTTGCTGTCCCTCCCAATTTTGCATGCTTGCCCAATTTACACATTGTTGCATTGTGCTCGCAGCAAACAGCCCATCGCTAGCCATGGCATGCACAGTGCGCTGTGCTGTAGCCCTCAGTTGTGCTGAATGTAGCAAATTGAGAACACGTGGCAGTGTGGCACATGGAGCTGGAGTAAACACTGGGTCATGGCTTAGAGGTTGCTCTGCTGATCCATCAAGTTGTGTTGATGGTGCACGAACCTGGTGCACAGGATACCGCTGAAGGCAGTTGGTTGCAACGCAACCATCTACTTTGGAATGTATCGACACTGACAAGCAAGCCACGCAGGGTCTGTCGGGCCACTTGTCCCTACGAGTCCTGCTATTTGCCTTGTGTTCCTTTGCAATCTTGAATACGTTATTTCACAGACGGGACATGGTTTGCTTCGTTTGCATCAGGGCAGATTGTCAGGAGGGAGAAGGTGGCATTGGGAAGTAAACAACATCCCATCAAGAGAGGGGGATAGGTTTGTTTTTGTCGCTGCTGGAGTATCTCCATGCTCAAGTGTCCGCTTGTGGATTGTGGAGAAGGCAACTTCACGTTGGGTGGAGAAAACAGCACAGCTTGCACCCCTGCCACCAGCATCACAGGAGGGGAAGACAGAGCCATGGAGCAGGAAGTGAGTTGTTCTCAACACTGATTTCTTAGAGCTGCTTCACCAACAATCTGCAGACTGTGTGTGAACTGCCTTCGCAGACCTATGGTCTGCCAATCAGTGGGTCGATGACTCAATCATTGCACACATTATCTATTAATGGACTGGCATTGACTGTATGTCAACAGGAAGGCGATGACGCCTGCTTCCCACTGTCCCCAGAGCCCCCATCTATGGCTTGCTCCACTTGACAGTCTGACTCTGCCCCATTGGTCCTAACAACTGACGCAAGCCCCGTTGGTCCTAACAACTGACGCAAGAAGAAGGAACGGCTTTGAATGTTACTAATTCTGTGGATGGATTCATGGTAGCGCTTGGAAATGGGATATCATAAATGCGTCATGGAGTTTGTTGCCGTTTGGTAAGCACTCGTTCATTTTAAAACATAGCAAACTGCTGCCGTGTCAGCTGTTGGGCGATGTCGAGCACTGTTCTGCAGTAATAGTGCTTCCAGAGAGGGTGGCTGAGGAACAGTCAAAACAAAACTGTGATGCACTTCTGCGAATGGTCCTTGTCTACCACAGTTGGCGAGTTTGGGACATTCTGCAAGCAGGCTCAATGAATGCAGGGGTTGCGTGTCTGATAAGTCAACAGACCCCACATTGGTGCACCAAGCATTTTCACTTCCAAATTATCCATCGCTAATATGGGCTCTGGAGATCGACGTGAGCACATTCTCTTGAATAGTAAGCACACATGTGCTGCCACATTCATTCTGGCAAAACAGCTCGGTTCTCATTTGCCCTTCTACATTCTTCCCATGACCACAATGGCCCCCCTTCTTTTGGTGCAGGCGCTCCAGGGAAGTGCTCTCAGGGCGCGATTACTTCCTTGGAGCCACATGGGCAATTGTTCTCGAGCACAGCAGTATTGGACAAGCAACGCACATCGTCCTGCAGCTGGATGAGCCGGACATGCCCGCAGCTTTCTTCTTGCATGCAGGCCTCATCAGCGACCAAGACGTATGCAAGACCCCTGTGCATCTGGGTTGGAAATCGATTTTCTCTCCCGTGGACCTTCCAAGGAACCACTGCCTATTGACCCAAGTCCATGTCGATGTTCCACTGTGGATTTCTTCCCTCATCCATGAGGTCGAAGTATCAGATGTTCGATCAGTGGCAGCAAGGCAGTACAGTGGTGGCACACCTAGAATGAGGGGAGTGCTGTGCCACTGGGCAGTTCAGCTGAACAGATGTACTGCCAGCAAGTGTGTCGTCCTGTTGAGCAAGGATTCCATCTGCCAGACGTCGGTCATGCTCAATGTCCATCTCCAAGAAATATCTTGGGGGCTTGTGGGGCGTGAGAGCGGGGCTATTGTTGGAATATGTGCGATTGTGTGCTTGACAGCAGCTGTGAGAGGCGGGGACATTCGGGCCGATGGGGTCAGGAAAGTGTGGAACTCAAGGGCCTCAAGGTACAGGGCAACGAAGTTCACAGATTCTCCAAGCGCAAAATTTGGATCGAATTGTTGGAAAATCTGCCGTGTCCAGGTGGAGAGCTTCCTGGCACGGCATGAGGCTTTCTGCGGTGGCTCAGAAGCCCGCCCATCGGCCAGATGGCTCCTTGCAGCTGTTGGCATGGGATTGGTGGCACGAGTTCTGGATGCATCGCTGTCGCCCCATGTGATATGGGCGTCAAAATTTGGGTACCCTGCGGTGTTGCTAGACGCTTTTGTGCTCGCATCGGTGGTCTGTGCATCTGCAAGCCTGGTAGCCGTGGCGTCGCTGCTCATGCTGTCCCTCCTCCTGCTGATTGATGCATGTACATGTCCCTTGCGGCAGCTGCGTCGGTTCCTGGAGCAGCGGTTCCCGGGTCGAACGATCAGAGAAGCAGCGTTGCAGGCCCATTCTGAAGGAAGAAGATCGGCGCTTGAGCAGACACTGTGGATGCTGCCACTGTCTGTTCTATTGGCTGCCCTCCATCCTGGAGTGGCCACAGTTGCAGCAGCTGCTGGGGCGTTCATCGCTTGCCTTCATCCCAGTGGCTGCCACCGGTACGGTGGCGATGGCGCTTGGTTGATGGCCCATTTCTGTGGGACGTGTCTGTGGATGCCGTCCCTCATCGCCTGGCTGCGCCTGGACCGCAAATTTCGACACTTGTCGAGCGCCTGGGAGTGCTTGATGATGGTTCCATGCGTTTTGCACGGCTGGGGTGCTGGGAAGGCGGCAGGCTGCTCCGGTGCCATTGAGCAACACAGGGGGCCCATGGCATCGTGCTTTTCTCTGATAGCCGCGGCTGTTCTCGGGGGTCGCACATTTCTGGCCGTGTATGTTTATTCTGGGGTGTGTGCGCTCGAACTGCTGTTGCCATTGGTCAGGGGGTGTGTCGGTAAAAGCTACTCAAAGCGGCGCTGAGGTGCTGGGATTCTTTGTTGCAAGATTGCAACGGTGTTGGGCTGCTGTCCTACCCATCGCCATGCGGGCAGATGGACCAACATCACATTCTCCATCCTGTTATCCAGCACAGCCAATTGAAGATTGGCAGCCCCGGCCCCTTCACTGCCAATTTCTGATGGAGACCAGGTGGTCGTCACAGAAACGGACGGCTTTCGAGAGTTTGGCCCCAAATTGAGTCGCTCTGCTGCTTCTTGATCATTCACACATGCTGCTGGATGGCTTAATTCATGAAGATATTCTATTTGAAGACGCCATGCGTCCTTGGACGAATGGGCACGCATGGAGTCTGATCCAGACTCCGTCTGCAGGTGCACTGCACGAATCAACGACGCTCTCAAGGCATGTGCAGAGTACACACGACGTTCACCACTTTCAAAGCACGACATGTCCCCGTTTAGCACTTCGAGATCCTCCCCGATGCAGCACCAACACAAAGATCGAATTGCACGTCATATACCTCTCAATTGTCACTTAGAACGCCACACCTCCAACCGTTATGCGCATGCCATGGACTGCGTCCCTGTGCACACAGTCGACGCTGCCCAGCAGCATTTTTTCAGCGAATCAGCAATGCTTTCCCCTTCGAAATACCCAATGGTCAAATACACAAATCAACCAGCCATGCGTTGTCTGCATTCACTACACGAGATTTATACTCGAGCTACGGAATATATCGTCTCTTGGCCACCGCCCCATCTGGGCCACGCCACTGCCACCGTCCATCTGTATGCCAGGTCTAGTAGGTGCCCGAATCCCCGGAGATCTTTTCCTTCAGACTTTCGATGTCGGCAAGAAGCTCCTCGCGGCTCGACTGCATGTTCACAAAACAGGACAAATGAGATTGTCCGGCTGTTGGTAGGCTGTTTTGCGTAAAGCACGCTCGACCACCTGTACGGGAAATTGCTATCCGAAACTGAATGGGAAGCGTGACTTGGCTGACTTCATGGTGCAGCGAATTGATTGCCACTTTGCATCAAACCTAACAGCGTTCATTCCGCAGCCAGCGTGAACGCAAAGCGACACCGCGAGGATAGCCCACCAGCAGAGTTGGTGCCAGCAACGGCAACTATCCATAGTCGAATAAATCAATCTGCACCATTAGGATTCAGCCAGTCAGGTCGAGACAGATTGGCTAGCCCAAGAGGTGCCTGGAACCGACACCCCTCCCTCTCCTGATTCAACTGACCGACACGCATGGATGATTGATTGACTGACGTTCCTTGCGCAGGATTCCGGAGCCCACCTTGAAGAGCAAGTATCTGTACACGAACCACGCGGAGTACACGAGTCCAACCAGCTCCATCGCCTTGGGCACCTGCGGCGCACGGGCCACACACAAACGGTCGGCAGCTCCTCCACAGCCGCGTTCCGGAACTTGGACGCCGCCAGTCAACACACACGCCCACAGCACAGGCAAATCTTCGGAACCAGATCTGACGAAACCCTTGCGGGCCGTCTGACGATGGCCGTCGGCCAACGTGTCATGCTGCCCGCAGAAAACACAAGATCCTTACCAGAGGGATGGAATTGACGACGCTTACGACGCCGGATGCGACCCACAGGACGACAAGCGCCCCCGCGCCGTAGGTGATGACCGTGGGCTTGTCTTCCAGGGCATCCCACTGCAAGCAAACACGACACCGAAATCTCGTCAGCCCTCAGCGCAGCAAGCCCACGCCAGGGCCAAGAGAGGCCACCAGACGGGCACGGATCTGATTCCAGGGTCACGCCGCCAGATCTGGATCCGCGCACCTTTTCCTTGAGGTCGCTCACGAGGTTGTCCGTGTCGAACTCGTAGGCGGGCTTCTTCACGCCCTCCGCGCGCGCCAGCACGCTGCGGCGCGCTGCCACGCCCTGCAACATCACGGACGGCGATCAACAGGTCGGCGGGGACCTCCGCGGCGCAGGCCACCCACTGGGACACCCCGGATCCCATGGACACCCCACCTGGAAGGGTGACGGCACGATCGCCCGGCAGGGCTTGGGAATGGTTGCCAGAGCTGGCCTGTGGGCGGAGCAGCCAGCCGCGCGCATGACTGTGGGTGCGGCCATTTTGGTGTGTTGGGCTCTGTGCGTTGGGGCAACAGCGCTGGAGGGTGTCGGGGCCGCGCCGAGAAGGGGGGCCAGCGCCTTTTGTGGGTCGTCCGGGCCCCCAAGGCAACGGGCAGTCGCCGGACACGTGCCGGGCTGCCGGGACGCTTGGACGGTTGGTGGCGCGTCCCAACGAAAATTAGGGAGAATGGGGGCGCGGGACACGAAAATTGGCGTCAATTAGGGCGCAGCGGTCGGTTCCAGTGATCGGGTTGCTGCAGCGGTGCGGCGCAGTGTTGGGCTGGCACCCCAACGGGCCGTGCCCAGGACATGTACAGCGTGGCGCGGCTTCGGAATCCCGAGAATCGCCGGCGACAAATTGTCGTGGAAAAAACTCCTTTCCAACCGATCAAAGCAACGCGCAAAATAGCAAAAGTTTGTTGCGCCCACGTAGGCATTTGTTTTGTGCTTAATGCGCATCGTACTATGATGCTGGTCACAGTGTGCACAAGCAGTGGGGGCAGCTCTGCATTTACCGGTGGTAAAGAGATTCCAAGCACTGGGCATGCGGAAGAATACAAAGAAAGCAGAAAGAGAAAAGAATAATTTGCACCTATGAGAGCGGCGAAAAGTCACGTGATGGTGTAGAAACTGAGTTCGACTGGTATTTGGTGTGGAAGATATGGGCAGTCATGGGAACAAAATGATAAACTCCCTTGGGACTGGAATGACGAGAAATGCTGATTAATCTTAGGTGACTTTAACTCAACGAAGATCAATCAGCATTACTCGTGTCTCCAATCCGGAGGGGAACTTATAGTTTTTGGTCTCAAAATGTTGAATGTTCAGTGGCATTCAATGGACTGCGACCCATCACGACTTGATGTGCACATGGGCATTGTTTAGAAATACTTAACCACGTTCACAATAGTATGCACTATTTTTCTAACCCGTTCAGCTCATCACGAGCAGCTACCTTCCAGGGATTGTTGTGGGGCAAATTGAATTTTTCACAAGAAAAAAGAATGATAGCATTATTTTCACTATGGCGGCTGATGACATAAGGGAAGACTCTATGTCGATTTTGGTGCGCTTAGCGTCAAATTGACGCTAAGGGGGGCGGGGGGGGGTCCAGGCCTGAGACGCTAAGAGATTATGCAATTGCCACAAAATCGACTTAAGGAGGGAATGTGCCCAAAAGCCCCATTGATAAGTGATAAAGAACCAATGACATGTTCCTAATGCCCCTGCAAGTGTTGATCTACAAAGAAGTCCTTAGAATGGATCAATTCCCAGCCATTGAGGCTGGCCGCCTCATCTATAATGGCATTTAGAATCCAATTTTTATACCCGCCAAACCCAGCACGACTTCGATTGCTTTATTCTTTAAAAAGACTGGAAATTGAATACCACTGTTAGGTGATGTTGCTGAGTCATCCTGGCTTCGACAAAAGGATTGACGCTAAGGGGGTGGGGGCGATGGGGGTCTCAGCTCAACGTCAAATTGACGTGAAGCGTACCAAAACCGACATAGTCTCTTCCCTAAGTTACATGGCGACGTTCTTGAGATTCGGCACCTCATTGAAGGACCTTTGAGCGGAGAGAAAAATGGCTGGAAGTTATGCCTGTGTACGCCAATTGACTGAGCAGAAGACATGCGTCTGCTTTTGGTAAAGTAACGAGACTTTAACGTGCCCTAGGAAGTTGTTTTTGCGGGAGCGGTTTGGTGCGGTGTGTAGATAGGAAAGAATTCGCAGCACAACCCATTTGGCGAAGGACTCGGGGCTGGGCTGCTAGGTGCTGTGAACATTGTTACGACTTGTATCAGGATATAAGATTGGTTCCTTGACTGTGGCGATGTCAGCGCCTAACCCCAATGTCGTCCTAGTGTCGGTGCATTGTTGCGCCTCATTTTGGAAACGTGCCGTAGCCTTTCCTCTGATACAATCGGCACAACAGTTCGTTTCTGCATTTGCATCTGCTTGTGGCGTGTTGTTGTCGTTACCAAGAGCGTCTATCTTCGCCGAAATGCTATCACTATAACGTGTTGCAGTCTAGTGAGCAAATGAGGAGCTGCTAGACCTCGAGGCAGTGAGAGCGACGACCATCAGCACAGCAATGGCTGGAAAAGGAGGTTGGAAGTAAATGCTGTGGCTGCAAACAGCATGGCGGCAATGCGAGTGACAAGAAGCAAATTACGGCCTGGGTCCCGACAGAGAAAGTCCAGATACAAGCCGGATCGTTGAAGCGCCGATTTTCGAAGAAAGGCTGGACAATTCAAGATGGGGAGAACACTGAGCCGAATTGACGGTCCAAACAGCAGGTGATCTGTCAGCCTCTCCAGGCGATCGCCATGACAGCGTTTCGGCACCTGTCTGCCACTTTCAATGGGCTCTTTTCGCTTTTCGGCAACGCCCAGCGCCTCTCCCTGCCAAATGTCTGACTGATCTGTGGTGCTCTGTCGCCTAGTCAGTCGCCATGTGTCACTCATGTTTTGTGTGCAGCGACAACATGACTGGTGGCGAACTTAACTTCTTGTATAATCGTTGTTGTCTAAAAACGTTGTTGTCCAAACGTTGTTTCTAATGCTCGAGTGCTCTGCCGTGTGCTGTGTACAAACTCTGCGCTCTCAAAACAGCTGTGTCGTGTCGCCCGACCTGTTCCAATGTGGCCAGGTCCCGCGCCCCACATCCACAACCTCCTCATGCCCCACGCTGGACGATCCCAAAACTGTGGAGCACAGCGACCGAATCCTCATTCTAACAAACCAAGGGTCACGAACCCAGAAAACATCAAGATGCCCGCTGGAGCCACGGGAGCCCCCACGGTCCTCCAACTCGACCACGAGATGCGCAGGGGACGGACTTCCGCCCAGCCCCAACAGAAACTAATGCTTTCCGCAAACCACAAACGGCGTCAGCGCGGGCTGCGCCCCCACATTACGCTGCGCAGCCCGCGCCAGGCGCACTGGCGGGTCCCCAATCCGGCTCCCGCTGGTTCCCAGGTCCCCGGGCCGCCGCCCCCAGTCGGGCCCGACATGGCCGCCGCGCCCTGAATCCGCGGATCCCGCTCGCCGAAAAGAGTGAACCTGACTCTTCCTGCCCTTCACCGCACCTCGCCTCCGCCTTCGTCTCACGCCCCCGTCAACCGGGCGCCGCAAGGCGAGCGACCAGCGCTACAGTGGCAGCGCCTCCGCGCTCCAACCGCAGGGCGCCACCAGCCCGGATCCCCTCGGCGCCGATCCGCCCCCGTGGCGCGATTTTAGCCACCTTGGCCGCGTGCCGGCAGCGCCGCTGCCTCGGGGGGTCGGACGAGGTCGAGGGGCGGGGCCGCGCAAGGGAACCTGCGTCCGGGCCTCGCAGATTCATGCCCTGCTGCCGGGCGCCGCCCACCGCTGGGTGTGCTGACCGGTGAGGAGCGGAGGCGGCGGGCCTGGGATGCCCACGATGGGGGGCGCGGCGGAGGAGACCCCGCCCACCAAGCTACGCAAGAAGCCGCGCAGTACGCCCACCACCGCCGCGCACTCTGCGTGCCCCCGCGCGGGCCGCTCTCTGCTGCCTGGGCGCTCACCGACGGGCCGTAATTCCCATGGCGCAGACTCCAGGTTCACGCAGCAGAACCTGAAGGCCTGGCGACCCGTGCTGACCCCGGTTAAGGTGGGTTGGGCGAGCCTACGCACGCCTCGAATCTGCTCCTCTCGGCGATCGACGAAGGCTTTTTTTGCCGGAGCTGACGGGCGCGTTGGCCCCTTTCGGCAGGTGGTTCTGGTATTCATGGCGGTGGCCCTCGTGCTCATCCCCGTGGGAGTTGCCTGCCTGACTGCCTCGATCTCGGTACGTCTGCAGGGTGATGGGGGCCCTGCTGGGGAATCCCTGCGACCTGGCCTGACCTTTGTGCCCATTCGCGTTTGCCGTGGCGCGCCGTCCCCTCCTGCGCCGCCGACGGCGCTTGGTTCTGGTGCCGCCAGACAACTTGAGTGCATGTGCTGCACCCATAGTGTGGGCATCACATCAGAAAAGAACAGTCCCCTTGCTAACGATGCTACGGCTGCGGATCCTGAACACACTGTCCGCCAACCTTGCAGAAAAGGGACCGTGCAACTGAGGATGCTGGTTCCTCGTGGAAAAGAACTGCCTTGTGGGCATCTCAATTTGGGCACTGTGCTGGGCCCCCGGTGCCACATGGCCCTAAAAAAGCTGAGATTTGTCCGTGATTGTCCAGGTCGTGGAGTATTCCTCTAGATATGACAACGTGCCGGAGTGCACAGACAGGGCGAACGACAATCGGGAGCGTGAGCAGAAGTTGTACCAGGCAAGAGACTGCTGCCTGACTTGCAGTGTGTGAGCGCCGTGTACCGACTGGCCTCAGTAATCATGATTCTCTGGAAGTTGGCTGAGTGAGGTTTTGATGGAAGATGAGCAATCATACCTGCTGATACGTCACACGGGACCATGTCACCTTTGGGCCTTGTTCCTGCATCGATGTTTTTTGTGTGGTATTTCGTTTCATCTTGTTTCCTGCTTGGATGTTGATTGCTTGTAGCCGATGCGGTCACCTATTCCTTCTATTGGCCATGACCATTGTGTATCTAATTGTGCATTACTTCCAGTTGGTTTGACCATGTGTATGGAGGGCATGCCCACCAACAACAAAGCTATGGGCAAATCGCTGTGCTACTGGGTTCTGTCGAATTGTTTTCTACCATGCAGTGAGGTACATGCAGCTCCATTAGCAGAGAAGAATTTCAAGAATTTCAAGCATTACACCGGGTTGATGGCAACGCTAACAGCAGTTCTTAAGAAGAACACACCAATGTTGCTTGAAAGAGAAGAGAAGGGCAACGGAGTTCGCTTCCTAATCATCTGGGCCCTGTGTGAGGACTTGTGTTGTGTGCAGGTTGGAGGCGACGGCTTCTTATGTAATGTGTCAATCATCGTGGAGGAGGACATGAAGGCCCCTATTTTTATGTACTATGAACTAGACAGTTTCTTCCAAAATCATAGAAGGTGTGTGGTGAAGTCCACGGTGGGCTTGCCCAGCCAGTGCGCTCTTCATCCCTGCTGTCCCTTGTGTATTTCACTTGCAAGTTGCAACATGTTGCCCCCCTGTTGACCATCATGTGGAGGATTCAGGGTGGAGGGATTCACCTGCACACAATGCATCTCCAACATGCTTGCAGAATACAAGTGGTTGTTTGCCACAACTGACTATCACAGTTACTGGGCTTGCTATTAGGATCAGCACGCAAGTCAAGAATGCAGTCGCAAACGAAAAGAACTCCTGGCAGCTAGACCCTCATCAATAGCGGGTGGGATAACATTGGGAGAGATGTGCAGAGGGTAGTTGTCATCTACTGGCATAGAGAGTGCTTCATTGAACAATAGACCAGAACAAAACATTTCTGTTCAGCAAAACAACTCACAGGGCCGGAAATTGCAGTTTGGATCCTTGTTACCTGCAAATGCATGGGCCATGGCCGTGTTCTGTAAGCCGTCCTTGTGGCTGTTGATGTCCTTGGGTGTTGCAGACCTTTGACAACCACCTTTCCTTTTGTTTCCGATGTTGCAAGTGGCCTGCACTTGAAGAGCACAGCACTTCCTTGAGTCACATGAACACGCTGAGCTGTAACACATACTGTACCAATGAAAGGAAGACTGCTATGCTGGAGTGCGACAGAATTGTCACGGTTCTGTGACTTGATTTCACCTGGCTGTTCATCGCCATAGGCACAGTAACTCAGTCTGTTCAAGTGTCATGTTGCACAGCATGCTGCAGGCTACCTGGGTTTCTCATCGTAGCAAGGACTCTGCAAAATTTGCATTGGACAAACCATAATACAGTGTTGTTGTAATTGAGACGTTGCCCTGAATCACTGCTGCCCATGCTGCAGATACGTTAAGGGGAGAGACGATGAGCAGCTAAAGGGCAAGAACCGCGCTGCCAGTTCCCTGGATGACTGTGAACCGCGCCTATTCCAAAATGGCAGCAGGGACAAAGTCATCAACCCTTGTGGGCTCACTGCGTGGTCATTCTTCAATGATACTTTCAGGGTAAGCTGAACTGCAACTGCAGCGCTCCTGTCAACATGTTCACTGTGCCATTTTGGGGGCAGTTACAACAAGAAACAGCATGTGCGGCCCAAGATAGTTTGCTGGCCTGCCTGCATGAGAGGGTGGTTTGGGGGTAGGATGGGGAGGGTATGTGTCGCAGCCCTTGAGCTTCCTTGGGCTCTGCATTTCTGAAGCCGAAGGGTTGCGGTTTGGCAAGTGTAGCAGAACAGGCAGCTTCAAGCTTGTGTGCAATCCATGTTTGGCACTGTGGCATTCCGATGTAATTGTCTCTTATGTGGAGTTGAGCCGCTTGACGGCAGCAGTCCAACAGAAATTTGGCTGCTTCTAATAGGTTAGAACAGGGCTGGTATTGGTTGAGAACAGAGAGCGTGTATATTTTGCAGGAACGAGCTGTTTCGTGTATTGTGCGCAGCATTAATAGCCAGCTGCAAGAGATGCGCATGGATATGCAAGAGATGTGGCGCGCTCTAGGGATTCTGCAGTGCTGCACGCACGCGTGCCGTCAAGGGCATCCAATTGTGTGTGTCTCGTTGGTTTGCTGAATGCTGGCAGCGACGCACACCCTGAACTCTGAGCGACCGCATTCAATGCTGTTTTGCAACCGCCTGTGTGGCCTGATGTGGCTGAAAACTGCTGCGTGGTATCAGGCGTTCGAAAGTCAGGCTTCCAATACTTCGGAGCTGGGGTTGAGGCAGAAGGGTATTGCATGGCGGAGTGACGTGGAACACAGATTCGGGGCTTATGAACCCCAGAATTTCAACAACATTCCGGAGCTCCGTGGTGGTGGCGAGATTAACGGCCTGGTGCGTGACGACGAGCATTTCGTTGTTTGGATGCGGACCGCACCATTGCCCACCTTTCGAAAGCTCTGGGGAATCATCGACAGAGATGTCCTGCAAGGGTCGACATTCGTTGTCGAAATTTCCAACCGGTACAACACGTACCGGTTTGGAGGGAAGAAGTCCATAATTTTGTCAACGACCTCGTGGCTGGGAGGGAAGAATAACTTTCTTGGGTTTGCGTACATTGTCGCTGGTGGCCTGAGCTTCCTCCTGGGGACGCTGTTCTTTGTGCTCCACCTCAGTTTTCGGCGGCCTCTGGGCTCCGAAGACTACCTTTCGTGGCGCAGGAGTGGGTGAATGATGGAGCGCAGAGGGGTTGTAGAGCTCAAGTTGCTTGCATGGTGCCTCAGTTTTGTTAGGTGATCGACAGAACAAGTTCAAGATTAATCAACGATTCTTGAGCAAACCATTCAGCCAAACGACGCGCAGAGCACCGTGCTGAGCAGGTGCGGAGAGGCGTGGTGTTTGCTATGCATTTGGGCGAGCTTGCAGCAGAAGTTGCTGCACTTGTGTAGGAATGCAGTAGTCTTGAATGTACTTTAACGACATTGGGGCACTGAGCATTGCAGCATCGCAGTGCTCACATACTAACGCACACTTATAAGCATCTGCCAATGGATTGATTGCCCTCCATACGAGTGGGCTGTGTGCGATTGTGCGCCTCAATAGCAGTTGGTGATCCAAGAGGGGCAATGGTGGTAAGTAGCTTGGGGAGTAAGCGTCCAACCTTCTCACTCATCGGTGCTTGCGTTCCCCGACCTGTCTGCCGCGCCACCATCTCAATTTCTGAGTGGCGCCCCCCTTTCCACGCCTCCGGGGGCGACTGCTCGCAATTTCGGACGGCCGCCTCGTGTCAGTCCACCCCACATGCCACACCATTGTGTGCCACACGTCGCCCTGCAGAATTGTGGCGTGAAAATGTGCACACATCTCTCAACGTTCAACGGATGCAATAATGGAAGGATATGCAGGCCACGCTGCATGCCGCCCTTCCTGTTGCGCCTCAAAACTACGACCCTGCAAAAACATCGGGACCTGTTTGTGAACCTGCGCGCAGCAATTTGTTCGGTGGACCGTTGACAATCGCTCAGGGTAGGCGCCATGCCAATCACAGAGATCCCATCACCTGCGCTAATGGTGGCGCTTAGACGAAAGGCTGAAACGAAACCATCGATTGTTATGCGGGCCGCGTTTAGGAACTTAGAACGCAGAGCAGCAGCGGGGCCAATTATGGCAAGAAAGTGCAGAAATGAGATGGCGTGCTTGTTCGCACATTCTTTGTCGGCGTGTCGTGGCTACACCACGCATTGGTCCTTGGCGGCTCGGACGACTGATTGATGACGTCCATTCTCTTGCATTAGTGCCGCAACCAGATGCTTTCTCCATCTGCTCCAAAGGCCCTCGTTCCCCATCGTGAACAACAACCTGATCATGGCTCCTGACAGCAACATTGTTACGGCGGTGTGTTGCGGTGTGTTTGTTCAGGTGGTCCAGCTTGTCCACCAGTGGCCCCCTTTCTTGGCCTAAATGCCATGTCCTCCGGATGTGCTGGTGTTGTGGGTTCCCAAGTGCGCCACCCAGCGTTTCGTGTGGTGAATGTCGGGCGCTGGCCGTCAGGACACGGAAACTGACACCTTGCCCATTCACATTCCCTCGCAACTCAGAGCTGTCGCGTTGTCAGGAACCTTTTGGAGCGTTCCAGGCATGGCGCTGCTGCCAGCACGCCACCAGCCCACTTTCGAGCAAGAATGGGCTGGTGTGCAGATCCTGCCACTCTGTGAACTGGCAGCGTGCACACTTTGGCACATAGAAGCCAAGCAAATGCATCCAAAGACAGCAGGGGATCGTTGATGACCATTACGAGACAGTGCGCTTGGGATTAAGTGTCCAGTTGTGCTGTGTTATAGATGCACTACTCACATGTGCCACATGGGTAGTGCATGCCCATGCAAGTGCAAAACAACGAAGGGCAGCGTCCCACAGTGATTTGAGTAGGCTAGGGCAGGGCTGTACTCGGGTTGTTGCAAAAGGCACTGGGTGAGGCGCATAGCAGACCAATCGTGGGCTCTGAACTGTTCAGAAATCGCTTGTCGTGTGACATGTGACAACATTAGTCAGCCTTCGAGCAACGATTAACCAGCCACTCCGAATTTGAACGTCAACATGGCCTGTCCATGAAAGTTACGAAGTGTGTTTCAGAGCTGAAGAGCCCAGCGTCTCGCTGCCTTGTTTAGATGTGTAGCATCGGTGTTGAGACAATGGGGGACTTGCTTACAGAATTGGCAATGGAAGGCATTTATCATTCCTGGAATTGCAGAAGCATTGTGTTGTGTTGAGCGAGCTTACCTGAGGCGTTTGTCTGCCTGTGGGAACCAAGGTATGCACCTTGCCTCCCAAAAAGCAGACCAATGCAGACATCCCCCAGACATGTCTGGGGAGATCAAGGCTCTGGCCACCTTCTCAGAGGACTGTGGTCTACTGGCTCTATGTTGTTGTGGGTTGGATCACTTTATCATAGTTTGTGCAATCTGGGATAAAATTTCATTTACTGACATGGCCAACATGATCACACAGTGTTCTGCTTTGCTGTTCATAAGGATACGTGCGCTCATTTGTGGACAGAATTGAGATGCAATTGCCTTCGCAGCAAACCAAGAGGGCCATTTTGCACATTGGATGTGCCCGTGTCACCGCCTTGTGAGTGTTCAGTGCAGACAGCTGCTAATGTATGGTATGCGCATTGGTCTGACTTGTTCAACTCGGACGGGGTCGAAACGTGGCTTACATTCAATCCAATTGCTGGGCAGACAGCCCCCTTCCGGGTCGCACTCGAACTGTTTATTCAAACTCGATGACCACAAGAAAAAAACTTGGAAAGCAAAAAACAAGTTGGGCATCCAATGATACACTCATCTGCGGTGGTCCGCACAAATCCGCGCAACATCTCCACCGGCTGCCGTCACCGGCACTTTCGCTTCAAGTCCACGCCCACCTCCCCGCTGCTTCCGCAACCACCGTACATGCCCACACCACGCGGGTACAATGCCTCGAACGACAGTGGCGACCCAGACTTGGACAACCGGACTTCGTCAAAGGTGAGCAGCGGCATGGAGCCCTCGCTCTGCTTGGTGCGCAGCAGCAGGCTCCCCTCCGCCTCATCCTCTTCCCCTTCATCTGCCTGCCTTGGAAGGAGATCTGCCGATCGCGTTCGCGGCTCGTCACACAGCCGGGTGCGCAGGTCAAGGGGATGGCATCCCAGGGGGGTGTCCGGCGCCACGGCGCCTTCAGTGAACCCGTGTTGTCTCTGGACCTGCGCGAAGGTTCGAAATTAGGCGAATCTGAACGATGCACGAGATCGCCTTCCCTTCAAGCCCCAAACCGTGTGGGAGAATGCCGTTGCAGCAGAAAGAAAGACTTGTCATGCAGTGGGCACGCACGCGTTATCATGCAACAGAAGATGGTGCTGACGCTTCAATTTGCAACAGCAATACCACACAAGCTGAACAGTGACAGGTACCTGATAACTACACTGGTACATTGGGAGCCAAGGATGGATCAGACTCAGGGAGGGAGGACAAGTGGACAATGGGACGTTTGACAACAGGTTTGCTTGTTTAATGTTGCAAGCAACGGCATTTGCACATTATCTGATCAGAGACTTAGTGATGCACATGCAAGTGTTCATTGCTACACAAGGGGCAGTGATGTTCGCTATGTTGTTGGGCCCTATCGGAGCTTTCGGCCTCAACTCATCGGATTTGTCACCAATAGACGAAAAGATTGCAATTCATTTGCAAGGTGATGCATAGCAGTATGCACCAATTGAAAGTTAAAATTTAGTGCTGTGGCTTTTGCATTTTGTGTTTGCATGGCCCAGCTGAAATTCCCGTTGTTGTGCTTGCTTTCCTTAGTCCTGTTGGGTTTTCATGTCCAGCACAGCAAAGTAATTCTTGCATCCCAATGCCAGAGACGAATACAGGATCGAATTGTGTATTGTGGGAACAGCAGTTGTGCAAAAGCAAAATAAAAGTGTCTTATGAACTTACTTGACCAAAACAAGTCAGAAAATGAAAGCACTCTCCAAAAGGGCACTGGCAGTATGTGCGAAAACATTGATTCTGTTGTGAGGGTATTACCATGGCTGAGAGCTCATCTCCCACACTCATTGACCTTCTGGCCGCATTGCTCCCTCGCATGCGCTTGAACACTGACATTTTAGAAGGCTGCTGCTGGAACACTCCCCAGGCCCTGCACATCATACTGCAAATGTCAGATGAGAACACCCAAAGATTGCCCAAAGATTGCCTTTGAACAAAGAAATCAAAGACACAATGCTCATCCTACCTACAACACATTGTTGCAAGACCCTCAGTTGCAATGCAGAAGATGATGCTAACACCTGCGAGACCCTAAAGACAACAAGCAACTGTTGCATATAAGAAGTTAAGAGTGTCTTGAGCAATGCCCCAACTGTAGTCATATTATGTAAACGCTCTGGAAAGTTTGCAAATTGGTATTGATTGGTCTTTGACCATTCCCTCACTGTGATGAGCAACAACATTCCCAGCAGGTCATGGTTGATGCGAGTTTGCAGAATTCCACTCAACGTTCCACAAAATTCAAGTAATGCCTAACGCTGACCAGGCATATACCTGCCAGGCGCATACCTTGAGAACGTACTACTTGAAGTACAACAAAATTACCCCAAAACACAATCCAAAATTTGCCTACTTAACAATCACATAACTAGCGTCCATTTGAAAAACTATAATTGAGGCAATGTGAGTAGGAGATGGCTATGCATCAAGCAGTTTCGTGGGTTACAATTGCCTTCCTTGTTTCCTAAAGTCGATTCTTTGGCAAGTTTGGACATGCTTCCATAATGTCTGGACAAACTCCTGGAATGGTGCAGCTTCAAAGCGTGGAAAACGGTTGCCATGGGCCAATTTTTTTTTGCAAGGGTGGTGCCGCAGTTTAGGTTTTCGAGACAGAATGAACAATACTTTGAAATTGCGCCAAGAATCAATGCACTATTGTATGACAAGTACGAAGATTTGTTCAAGTAGAAGAGTGGTTGCTTGATTTGAACAACGCCGGAGGGCAAACTTTCTGCATCCAGTGATTCGTACTTTGATACACCAACTTCTTCCCTCAGGACGTGGTCCTGACTGCAGTTTCTTGATTTTCTTGCAAAGACAAATGGTGCAGGAGATGGTCTGCTTTAATTCACATCATTCACGACCGTAAATTACAGCGCCAATGACGAAGCGAGGTAATGGAACACGATGTGACATGTGAACAGGTAAATATGGCCATTCCGCATGATCGCCGACTTCGTTCCTTGCTGCGTTCAATCTTGGTCCGGACACGCACGACACTGCCTAACATCGGGCCGGTCACTTCTGGAGCGCGAGAGCGCCGTGGAAGTCGCCCCAGCGGGGTCCCTCAGGTCCCTTCGCCCCTCCCCATCACGGCTATGCCCCCCTTTGTTGGCTCGACCTCGCGGCACACCCCAGCCACAGCGCCCGGCGTCCCCCAGGCCATCTGCCACTCTCGCATCTCATCAAAACCACCCGTCCCAACCCTGCCCATCGGGCCGCAAACCAATCGACATCCCGGCGTCGGCCCAGTTCGCGGCATTTTTTTTCCGCCTTGCACCCGGCTCGTTCGGTCCGCCGCACCCCCTGGGCGCAAAAGCCCGGCTCTCCAGCGGCGCCCCCGGTGTCCCCGCCCATCCAATCTCCGCATCCCGCGATGCGATGGTCGCGCGTAAAGATCTCGAATAGGGTCGCCACACCTTCTCACTCCGTTCCTCCTCCCTTCCTGGCCGCTGCCCGCGGCCCCAATCGGCTCCTCGCGCGACGTCGCGCCTCCAGATGCGACCCCAACGGGCTCGCCACGCCGATGCCCCTCTCGCGAATGCCCACCTCCCGATGCACGTGACAAAGGGCCCAAGCGGATGCTGCCTGGCGCGGGAATGAGCCTGCGCTGGCGGCGTCCTTCTCCCCGCGGGGCTGTGCAGGCTGTGGTCGCCGTGGGCGCTTTGGGTTGCTTTGTGGTTGCTGGTGGCGCCAGCGGAGGCGAGCCTCAGTCTCACGCAGAGTGCGTGCAGTTTCTGTGCCTTAAAGAATGAGGGGATGCGGTGAGGGGCCGTGTGGGGGCCGCGTGCTGCTGGGCCCTAGGTTGGACGTCGGCGCTGGCGTTAGTACACACACGGGTGAGGACGGAAGTGTGATAATGTTCAGGGCAGGCATCCCAGCGGACGCTGTGCTGTACGCGGCATCTTGTGTAAGGGTTGAGCAGGCGCTTGGTGGGGCGTCGGGTGCAGGCCCAAAAGGTTGGAATCCTGTCCTCGGCACTCCTCGCGGACTGGCTTCACGTCCTGGAGACCAAAAGCTGTGGATGCTCCAGCGGCCGTTGCAGCAGCTGGGCCAGTAGTCACGCGATGCCTGCGTGATCAAGGAGCACAGTCACACTCCCGGCGAGAGTTGGCGATGGGTGGCAAGGGGAAGGAAGGGCCTAGGCAGCCCTTCTGGAGACAGCACCGACCGTTTTCTTTTCTTTTGATTGCGGCGTCGTAGTAGTTCTGCCCCTTGGCAGGCACGAATGAGCGTGTGGATGGGGAGTTTTACGCGTTGGAGGTTGCGGGGGTAGGCGCGCAGCCCTGGCGGGGTGACATGGTTCCGCGCACCAAAAGCAAGCGCCTGTCGGGCTTATTTGGAGGAGAGAGAGAGTTTTGAGCTCCAAAGAGCCTCAGATTTTGTCGTTGTCCTCGGCCAAGTCAACAGTTGTTGCAAAAGACGTCGCTTCTGTGTGGCAATCGGCAGTGCACTTGTGGATTCAAGTGTTTCGAAACCGATTTGGGCACTTCCCGGTGTGAGTTCTCTCTACCTTAATAGGAATCTAGCGGTGATGGCTGCTTCGTGAAGTATCTGGCCATGCTTGCTTGACTATCCCAGCGACCAGTTTTCTGCACCAGTGAATTGATCCCCTGCACAAACACATGTACTTTGGTGTGGTACTTGGAGAGAAGCGAACGATCAGAGCTATTGTTTCTGGGATACCATCCCAGTCGCGGGGCCAGGGAATCCGCCCATGGCAGTTCCCCAGACAGCATCATTCGGTGCCAATGCACAAGCTTGCACGCACAATGGCAGTTGGTCTTTTGGAAATAGGAAACACGTCAAAAACACAAGGGGCATCCCCGCTTTAGAAATGCTGTCGCAACAACGCTGTTTGATGCTGCAGAAAATGAAGTGGATGCTTTCGAATGCCAGGTACTTTCACGCGCACCAGCTCTTGTTTTCTTGTCATGATGAGCACCGGCTTGCATCAATGGTCGACTTTGGCTGCTAGGTTCTTTCGACTACGAGATCAAGTTCATGATACTGGGGTGCTGTGATGAAGGCTGCTGCAGTGTTTCAAGCGTTTATTAGCGCTCAAAACAGCGTGCAAGGAAGTTTCTAAAACCTGATGACTGCTCGCTTCAGACAACATGGCAGGTCACAGCCAGGATGCTGAAATGAAAAGAAACAGCATGACGACTGCTGCAGGGTGAGTGTTGGCAGCATACTTGACACGTTCTTGGTGAAGAGTACGGCATTTCTGCTTACCGCCACATTCCAGTTCACGTGTCCACCTGTGGATCGTTAGCCCAAAGCATAAGGACAAGCAGTCGCGACTCCTTATTCTGGTTGCAAGAGCGGAATGTGCGATATTCTTCTGTTGTTGTGTTTGTTGAAGAATTGTGTCAGGGATGGTGATGGGTTCTTCATGATATGCTTGCGACTTCCACAACATTACCCTTATTCTGCAGGCGACGCCCTTGGGAGACAGACACCCGGTGTGTGTTGGGGAAGGGAGCATGCCAGGAGCACTGCATGACGCAAACACCTCCACCCAGCTGGACAATTGGTCGATGTTCGAATACATGGGCTATTACGGGTAGTTGTCAGCCCACTGGACCATGTTGCGTGCCATGTTAGTTTCCCCTTCCTGGTGGACACACAGGAAGAAGATAATCACATTGGCATTGATTGGTCTCCACGTGTCACGGCCATCACCATGGCACCATGGTTTTCTAGGACAGATGTCAGCAGCTGGCGGTGCGGCAGACTTGTGCTGCGGAAAGGGCGTTCATAATGCTGGCACTGTGGCCAGCTCGCCAGCTGGTCACCTGGCTGCCCGGCCAGCTGACCTTCGTTCCGAATCCGTTTGCTTGCTATTTGCGTTCCTCATTAGTAAACGAGCTGCTCCTGCGCACTTGGCAGCAGCATTCTGGCTTGAGCCCACAACGTATTCAACGACCCCGACGTGGATGCACGGTTGGCCATGAACAGGTTAACCATTGCAGGGGAAAAAAGCGAGCTGGGAATTTGTCGATACAATACTACAGTATATGCAGTTCCCATGGAACGCATAGCAGCGAGGCACGCTGCCATCAACAGCATTAACCTATCCCCTTGTACTTATAGCCCAACACACGTGTCCGCGGCAATGCCAAATTGCGCTCTCCTTCCCCCAAACCCAATTCAGGCCCACCCCACAGCACATGTTGCTGTCCATCGAAATTCTGGTCACGTTGCAACAGACTCAGTGCTGGATGAAGCAACGAACACACTACAACCTGCACCAATCATCCCCTACACCAGGCTCCCACTCCCTTGTCAAGAACCGGCGCTGGCAGCAACAGCCTTCGTCCAAACCCACCCTTACAACGCCACACCGTTCTCAACCGCTTCTTCCAAATTGGGAACATCATCGTTTCCGCCATCCCCCGAGCCCCGCTTCTCCTTGGGCTTTTTGAACATTCCGACTATCTTCTTGGCCCCAGGGACTCCTTTCTGGGCTGCTGGGCTGGGCCCTGGCAGGCCGTACACCGGGTTGGTGCCCGTCATCTCTACCTCTAGCGTCTCGCGCAGCTCCTGCCCAGCGGTCTCATATGGCAGCATCACCGCCATCGCCGCCGCCATGCCACACATCACCAGCAGGATGGCCTCCGCAACGTGCTCCTCTCCGCTGTCTACAGATTCAACCACCAGAAGGGGTGCAAAAAGGCCGCCCAGGCGCGAATACGAGGTAGATGCACCAAAACCAAGGGACCGCACGGCAGTGGGGTAGACCTCAGGAGTGTAAATGAAGAGCACTGTGAAGGAGCCAGTAATGGAGGCTCGGGACATGTACAGGAAGGTTGTCTCAGGGCCCTCTGAGGGGTCCAAGAGGAGGGGGACGAGGAAGACCATGCAGCCAGTCAAGAAAGCCGTCATCGACCTGTCCATAAACAGACACAGCTTGACTACAAGTGATACAGTCTGGAGAGATGCTGATCGTGTAAATCATTGCACAGAGAGCACACATGGCTGGAGAGGATAGCTAAAGGACCGTTCATAAAGAGATACATGGTTGGAGACGATAGGGAGACTGGGAAGCTCAGCATTCTTGCCAACTGGCATATCCCATCCTGTTCAATGCACTAAATGGAACGCCAATTTTGGGTCCACAATGGGAACACTCTCACTTTTTTCTTCCTATCCAATCCACCAAGAAGTATGCCAAGACGAGGCCGGCGCTCTCTGCGGTGGTCGTGATGAATATGTCCCTGTAGTCATTGTCGCGCATGTCGGGCTTGTCGGGCTCCTCCACTAGGCAGGCTTCGTTCCTTTCACCGTGTAGCTCAGTGGCCAGCATTACCATTCCGTAGTACCCCAGTGCATTGGTAACCCATATGAACCACAGTAAAAGGGTTGTCTTCTTCAGGGCAGGGACCAGGAGCCTGAAGGGGCACAGCCATACTTTTCAGGAGGTTCTCCTGCGGCATCGCAGTGACTGCGCCATTATAACGGTGGTGCTAGGGATAGTATAATGGAGAACCAAACCAACACAGCTTAGCAGCAACCTTCTTCTTGCGTGCACAATGCCCAACATCACACAATGAAAGGACAGTGATTTGTCCATACTTTCCACACCATGCAGTGCTTTTGGATAAGTTGGTCAAAGCGGAATGAAGGACTGCACAACACATTTTATGGGTCTTCATGACATTAAATTTTCCATATTTCCCTGGGACACTCAAAGAATTGTACATGAGCTCACAAAGTTAGGAAAAGGGTCCCAAAATTAGTGTCCAGAGGCATGTGAACTACACTACTCATTTTTGAGCATTCAGCCCACAAAGCATCACAAAGGTAACCTTGATTCGACCCCAGATTCGAATCACGAGCATGGAATCTTTGTATCTGCAACAAGAGCTCACAAGTGGCATCACCATTTTCCAATCGAAAACTGCCCTTAACGTCCATTTCTACAGCCCAACTGCTAGTTAGAGACAAGCATGAAGCTTCAGAAATTTCTCACAGCACTCTTCTTCAATAAGCAATTGGTAGTCCTGGCAAAACGCTGTAGGTGGCCCACTGAGTTGAACAAGTGATGCAGGTGCTGTGCACTGACATCCACATGTGACGTACTGACAGTGATTCCCCAGTGAGTTGCACTGTGTTCATCGGGCCCTGCGCCCGGACGTGTGTTACCCTTGGTTTCTCCTTGCTCACCTGCTCAACTGATCAGTTAGCATTCGCATCTTTACCCATACCCATCCAAACAGATTCCACCATTTCGGTGGATTGTGGACCGGCAGAGGGGCATCTTTTGGTGGCATTGTCAAGTGGCCTGATGGCATGGGTTTCCCGTTGAACTTGGCGATTCTCTGCAGAACTTGCTCAGCTTTGTCCATCTGCCCGGTGACAGCCAGCCAGTGTGGAGACTCAGGAATAAAGGGGAAGAAGACCAGAAGAAACACTGCACAGCCAGCAAACACAGAGTAAGCGGATGGACACAGATCATCTGGTACTCTGCTGGTGCAGAAGAATAGCTTTATGGAATTGCATTTTGTGTGCGAAAATGACACACGTAAATACCACGTCCTCCTGGATTTCTCTGAGCACATCATTAATGTTCATGGTGCTAAGGAGTTTCAGGAACACAGCTCCAGTTAAACACTCCTGAAACTTGAGGATGTCATACACAAATAAGGGCGGTGTCACAGCAATACAGAGCTGCAAAGGTGCCTGTCCTGACACACTTGCATTGGTTCTGCAGGAATCCATCCCATTCGCACAAGGAATCTAACTCCACTGCTCTTGCCCTCAATCAATCAGTTCATAAGAACAGAAGGAAGCCAACATTCCCCATGAGAATCATCAATTGAAGAGACCAGAGCAGTACATCAAATGCAGAGGATATAAACGTGGAGAAACTATTGAAACAGGGCATGGCGAAGCTGGAAAGCAGAAAACAGAAACCAAGCAAAACTCTAATAGCTTCACCCTCGAGCTTGTACTGTATTCACTGCACATGTGCACCACACCCATGGGTATTGCTGACAAGCCAACCAGCATCCTCCAGCCCAATCTTGGCATGATGATCCAGGCCATTCCTGCTTCGATGATCGCCCCCAGAGTCCAAAAGGACTGCATGATGACCAGGAACTTTCCCCTGTTCACTGTTGGGGTGAACTCCGTAAAGAGGGTAAAGGCCACTGGTACACCCCCCAGGCCAAACCCCACAATGCCTCGGAATAGCAAAAGTGTCTGGAGTCCAAGACCCATGCATAAGTCAGAACAAAGATCAGTCTGAAGAGATTTCTCCAAGAGATGCTGTTTGGTTATCTCACACACTGCTGAATCTATCCACATTAATGATGAATGTTGTATTCAGAGAGTGGATGTTTTTGGTGTCAATGAAAGCTGCAGATGGTCTTGTGCTTTGACGAGGCCAGCAAAGGTGCCAACCAATGCCACTGCACAGTACAGACACGATATGATGCAGGCAGCAGCCAAAATACTGGTGCACAAGTCGTGGTGGAAGCAATTCAGGAATATGCTGGTAAAAGCACCGCAGGAGATGAGCAACCCACAGAGAGTTGTTCATGAAATGCAGCACTGAATTGATGTTCAAGGTCAAAGCTAGGTAAATGCACTGCCTTGAGCTTCAGGCTATCGACATGTGAACCACTGGATATTCACAGTAAGTAGGATTGCAGCAAAACATGTACATCATGGACTTGCTTGTGGTACAAAACTTGGTCTGATACATGTTTGCTGCTGCTTCAAGGCGGTGGCTGACAGCACAGGGCTTGTGCACCCACCCCGTAGTCAGGAGCCACAGCGCTTGCAAAGCCAAATGCTGCTGTCAGGAATGCTGTCGAGAAGAACCCAACTTTTCTTCCTTTTATGTCTGCTATAGCCCCCCATATGTAGGCACCAAGCATCATTCCAAGGAACACCGTGCTTCCAATCGCAGTCTTCTCATGTTTATTCAGACCGAAGTCACACTTGGCCTGGCATATTAACACAACAAGGAACATCAGCAAACCGTGCAGGAAGGCATGCACCTCAGTTGCAAGGAAGACCTGAAGCAGCAAAGCATGAAAGACAAATTGCAGCGTAGGTTTGCACCTCTAGCCTGTGCTGAAGATGGGGCATTGTGCGCATCACTGCAGCACGTCCAGTGTCGCTACACATAGCAGTTCTCATCAAGCCCTTTCAGACATTGGTGAAATTCATGTCACAGTTCTTGTTACACCAAGGGATCTGTGTGTTCTCATTCATATTGAGGCCAGATTGTGATGCGTATACCAGTATGAACCAGCAGAAAGAGCAAGACAACTCCTGACAAAGGTGCAGTTGTATGCCAGCGGCATTTGCAGATAGAAGCAGCGCTTGCTCTTTGATGATACTCAACAGAACTGCCAACATTGCAAGCTACCATATGCTTCAGTCGCGTCCAGGATCAGGGGAAAAAACAGCAGCCTGGGTTAGACATATTTGTGGAACTCATCTGCCACTTCTCCCGTTACTGTTGCCATGTCTTGACATTGCTCCACAAATGTGGTTTCGCGGTGTGACAGATCTTTGTGGAAGAGAAGGTGCATAAAGGCAATGACCAACCAAGAGTATGTGCAACTTTCCCAGCAGGCTTTGCCTGGCTGGGCACTCTCTTGACAATTGTCACGCTCTGCTTCAGGCAAGCAGCTGTTCAAACATGTGATATAGTTGCAAAGCAAAATTGCCAAATTCGTCAGGGTGTTAGATGCTTTTGATGACTACCACTGCCAATGCCCCACAGAATGTCACACACAGCAAATATTCAAGCCTTCCAACACACACACCTTATGCTGTGGTTCAGGTGCATCTTATTGGGCCCTTTGAGTGCATGACATTCGAAGTTGGGCATATGTCTGGAGATTCATTGGGATGGGAAGGAGGCACCCTCTTTGGTGCTTATGCAAAACCTGTCTTGTAGAATTGTACCAACAATCTTCCAGGGCATTTTGTGCAGCTTTGGCTGCCTTCAGGATGGCAAAAGAATCGCGTGCCAACCCTCCAGGAAGGGAGGCATGTGATCACCAAAATGTAGTGGAAAAATCTTGGGATATGTAGAAACCACACAAAAAATTGTAGGAAAATGATGAAAACATGAAAATGTGCACACATTGCTGCAATAGATGTCCATTGCAAAACTGGCATCAACACGGCAAGACCCTGTCCTCCTTACAGCAGATGTGATGAACGACAGCAGCAGCATCTCGATGGCGTCGCTCATCCACGCGAACCCGGTGTACAGCATCATAAGGCCCTGAAACCAACCAAAGCCTATAGCGTTGAGGGCATCCTCGACGGTGTAAGTTGGGCTGGGCCCCGCAGGCCGGGCCGCGGCCTCCTCATCTCCTCGTTGTTCGGAGAACGGCTCGTCGGACAGCGTCTGAAAGGGACTGATGAGCTTGCTGCCGTCGCTGCGCTTGGGGGATGCCTCGGCCTGTAAGATCAGTGGTGCGGAGCCGTGAGCATGCCAATCGACAGGGCCCTCGGGCTCCAACGAGGACCGCATTTCCAACCGACGCTGAGATCCCGCGGCCTCGACACAAGTCATTAAAGTGAAATGAATGTGCCCCAGGAATTCCACCCTTAACCACGCTGTCTGTAATCAATCGTGCGGGCTGGGAGAGGTCAATGGTGCACATGTCTGCACGCCTTGCAACATGAGGCACAGGAAGAGGGAAGCCAGCAGCGTTTCAGCTGCCTAGCCTGCCCATAAGGCAACCTCTAGGTTTATTGGGCACACATCCGACGTCTCGGAGATGAGCTGTGGACACAGTGCAGAAACTCTTCGGCACCGGCCACGACGGCAACTGCAAGCATTTCCCCAACGGTTACACTCAACTGGCAACATGTTCCCACCCCATCCCCAACCCCCACATCTTCGACCGCTGCAGCCTCACATGCTCATGGGACATCACAGCGTGATTGCCGCTCTCGCACACAGCGACGAGCCTGTGGGCTGAAGGGGGGCCACGCTCAACGGGGACCAGGCGAGGAGCTGTGGGCACTGCGCCACCCGCTCGTCTACGCCTTTCAGCGCTGTCCAAGCCACCCTAAGCACAAAGGCTTCCGCCAGTTTGCGGTTCACGTGCCGAGCAACCCGCGTGCTGGCAGGTCGCCTTGTCCTTTCGTACGGGCTGAATGGGAGGTGGCCGCGGTGGCGTGGGGGGGCGGCGCCTGCCCAAAATGTAACCACCGAACCTCATCACACATCGTGGCAGGTGGGGTACGGCTGATCTTCTAAGCTCATCATGGGCTGCTGACGCCGGTGCGGTTTTCAAGTGTGTGCGAGGACTCGTTTGTGCACAGAAGATTTCAAGGTTGCCACGGCGGATTGTGTACTTGCTTGACGGGAATTTCTCTCGCCCAGTCAACACGGTGAACCGGTAAATTGCGCGTACGACGCTGTGGTGCACTTGTACTATACGTTCATTAAAAGACAAGCCCATGAATGACAACTCCTGCATTTCCCTGCCCTTCGTGGATCAAAAATCAAACGCCAAAAACTCTATAGTTGACTGGGTTTGAATGCAGGCCAAGGAAACAGAGCAGAACAGGAACATCCGCCAAAAGATCGATGCCTCGGGGTCAATCTTGTAGCCACAGCGGGCTTTCTGTAGGTATGTGATGCCGCCTCCGCGGGATGCTTCTCTACTGAGGGGAGGTCACGGCCGTGTGAGCTCGAGCTGAGATCCATAATAATTTGAAGCAGCAAGCCCATAACAACGGGCTTCTTGGTTCAAAAACTGGAATACTATGGGAGGAAATGAAAAAACAACGCGCTCTGAACAAGCAGTGTCCATGCAGCTTGGCCCGACATCGCCTTCGAGACTCATTGACAGTGACTCGTCGTTTCATTCGCCAACTCAATCAAAGAATTCTTGCAGCATCGCTAGCGCCCACCCACATACCCCCAGTCAGAAATTCGAAAACTCGACATTTCTGCATTGAAGAGAAATGGAACATGCCTTGCTGTGGGCATCCTTTTCTGAGCCACATTGTTTTCGCAAAGTTCGTTCCCGCGCAACAGAGAAGGGTACAGTAGCTTTTAATTGCAGCATGAGTACCCAGCACGCATACTACCGTTGGCAACTGTGGACAATAGGGCAGGAGTCATGACTGCACCTAGAAATCCGGAGGGTCTTGCAGCGACACAGAGAGCACATTGGGGTTGGCGGAAAATCGATCAATGCAACAACGGTGCCTGCACATCAACACTCAGGCAAATTTGGCGTGGACATCATGGTATGTGAACGTTGAAGCATGTGCGATGCTGCAAAGTTGTCCAAGGGGACGTGAAGAACTCTGTTCCATCAAAGGTCATATTATGTAATTGCAACAAAATCGACATAAGGTGAAAAAATACCACCAAAAGCTGTTGATCAGCATCAAAACACTCGTGACTATTTCCTAACCCTCCCTGAAATGTCCAGCCATCAAGGAAGTCCATAAGATGTATCAACTTACAGCCACCAAGGCCCGCATTGCCCATAATGGCACTGAAATCCCATTTTCAGCCCACCCAAATGTGTGCAGCTCTGAGCGCTTTTTCTTCTTAAAAATGGCAGAAAATTGTGTTGTCCGGTTAGGTAATGTTGCTGAGTCATCCTGGCTTCGAAATAAGGACTGACGCTAAGAAGAGTGTGGGGGTCTGAGCTTAACGTCAAATTGACGCTGAGCGCAACAAAATCGACATTGCGCCTTCCCTTGTCAAATGTTAATCAAAAGATCAGTGTAATTTTCCAATTACGAATTTGTCAAATAATTGCTGCCTCCAACTGCAACTATTCATTGCGTTGTACAATGAAATGAATATGTGCATTTGGCGCCAAAACATGTGTTGCACTGTATGCCGCAATGGGATAATTCCCATAGACTATGGGCCATAGTGGGCGGCATATGGCACGCGCATGCACCTTCGGGTGCTGAGAAACGGCTTCTCGTCAGTAGGGCGGCCATCATTAGAGCTGTCGGATGTCGTCATTTGCAGTTTCTAACTTTGTTTGAAAGGGTTGATTTGAGTGTTTCACAATTGCCATGGAAAGGATGTATGCCTCCACTCAGGATGTATGCCTCTGTATGGCATTTGTTTCAGAGCAGATAACATCTACTCCAGCATGCTCATTTTGGTATAGGCTGTTGCTGGATGCAAAGGGCTACCCTGTCTTCAAGTGTGGTCCTATGACGCAGCCCTATGAGACACCAAGATACTTCGTTGGCGGGTATTGATTTTAGTAGTTCTTGGTTGATTGATCGAAACGCCATCGTTAATATCATGAATACATGTTGCATGCAATATTTCTTCATAAAGACGACATGTACAAACGTATTAGGTCTGACACGTCGTACCTCGCGCGCGGAGAAAATGGCTCAGTTGGCCCCCACAGTGCCGCATGTCCCCGGGGTCGTCAACCAAAAACGTCGCTCATCAGGTCCTGGGTCTGTCCCCAGGGTCAGTCCTCGATGTCTCCAAGCACGGACATCTCCGAAAACGTCCCCCAGACTCGCCGTCGACACCCCCCTCCAATTCTTGCCCATCCCTAGCTGCCTGCCAGCCCAGCAAAGCGTTACCGCTCGCGACAAACTCGCCTGGGCGGTCCGCAGATCTCCGCGCAGCTCGTCGCTCCCCGACAAGGCGGGTCGATAGAAAAGACTTCGAGAACGAATAGCCCTCGCTGCGGCAGGCTCAAACCGGAAAGCTTGGTTCGCAGGCGGGTTGCCATATTTGGAACGATGGCCCGCGAGCAACGCGCTCTTGCGGTGGCTCTCATAGCCCTGGCTGTGAGCGCGGGTGCGCCTCCCGTCTCCTGCGACCGGCACCTCCTGTCCCACGTATCCGACCTGGTGAGCGGGCACCTCCGCGAGGAGGCCTCGCAGAGGTCGGTGGCCTCTCTGGGTCGCATGCTGCTGGCCTTCAACGGCCTGGGCATCCTCAACGAGGACCCTAGTCTCGGCCTGGACCTCGGCCTGAAGGACAAGCTGGGGCTGAAGCCGGACAAGCTGGGGCTGGGCGAGCTGGCGGAGCGCGTGAAGAGCGAGGCTGCCGGCCTGGCGGACAAAAACTTGGGAAAACTGAAGGAGGTCGCGGACGTGGGGCAGAAGCTGCTGAGCGGAAGGGCCGCCGCGAGGGACCTCGGGGAGGACCAGGTCGGGGCGTTGGCGGGCTACTTCAGCAAGCTGATCACCCGCGAGCAGCAGATCCTGGAGGCAGTGTCTGGGGGGGCGGGCGGCGGCGCGGACTACTCCTACCTGGTGGACTTTCCGGACTCCAGGGTGCGCCAGATGCTGCTGCCCTTGTTCGGCGCCGTGGACGTCGAGTCGCTGTCCAACCTGACGTCCGCCATGCAGGACAGGTTCTGCTCGCCGCTGGCCATGCTGCCCAGGCGCCACACGGGCCGGCGGACCATCATCAACGGGCCCAGCTTCGAGCTGACGCTGGCCGGAGGCCGGTGCGAGCTGCTGGCCCCGGGGAGCAAGAAGGGGCCGCTGGCATTGCTGACGACACCGCTGAACTGCACGGGGCACGAGGTGTCGTACTCCAAGACACCGCTGTCGCTGCACAGGCGGCACGTCATACCGGAGGCGTTCGCGAGCGAGGAGTGTCACGTGGAGAGGCTGTACGGCACGCCGTACGAAAAGGTGGGGCACGGAGGCAATGCGCAATTGCACGGCTAGCGAAGATTCCTACATATGGTGTTACGACAACAATGTGCATGTCACCGTCCGCGCTATACCCGCAATACATGACCCATCAGAGTGTATCATGGCCACGTCCAGGGCCGCCCATTTGTCACCCCAGTGCCCCCACTACATCAAGACGCAACTCCAGGGAACAGGGCAAAACGGCACATTAATTGCATGGCTAGTGTGCTCCTGTCTGCGTTGCCAAAGTGCTGTGTCAATGGAGGGAGTGTCTTCGAGGGTGGTGCATGTATGACTTCCTCTTGATCTGGGCGATTTCTGTCGTAAAATGTTTCTTCATCGCTTGAAGGTTCTGCACGGCGGGGGGCCGCTCGTGCGGTTCGACAGCATGGTCGACTTCATCGACGCGGTGGCGGACCAAAAGTACAATTTCCTGGGAGGATTTGAGGACGTGCTGGCCGTGGCGCGAGGGCTCAGCGGTGGCGGGCCAGGAAGTCCATTTGGAGGAGGCAAGAATGCGGGAAGTCCGGCAAAGGGGATCGATTTCTGGAGCGCCCTGGGTCCAGGGAGGCTTCTGAAGGACAAGAAGCTGTTTGGGAAGAAGAAATTGGGGAAGCTGGGCCTGGGAAGCCTCCTGGATTTTGACGTCACGTCGCCCCTGTCGAACTTCAAGGTGCCGAACCTGTTGGACGGCGGGAAGGTGGTCAAGGACTCTCTCAAGGACAAGTTCAACATACTGGGTTGATGGTGCGGTGTTGGACGGGCGACGGCATTGGCACCACCCTGGACGGGGGTGGAACAGGAAGAACGGCATCGGCGGGTGGATTCATTCGATACTCTGCGAGATGGAAACGACCACTGTTGGCGCATCATGCACAGACACAAGCCACGAATAGCCGCGCAGGACGCCTCCAGGTTGGAAGTGCAACGTAGGCTGTGCTGCCAAAGGGGTGTGGACAGAAATCAACGGCCATTTCCGTGCTAGAGAAACAAGTGCTGCGCGCGTCGGTCCACCTCAAGATTGTAATTGAGCTGAAACCGTCAGTGCTTCAATAATGCGGACCATACACGGGGCGGCATCGCGCTGTGCTGTCTCTGTCATACATCAGGGGCCTGACATCCATGTGCGCAAGCCCGTCACACACCTAGGCTGTCAAATGAGAACTCCCATCGCTATGCAAAATGTGCGAGGCCTGAGTACCGAGGCTAGGTCTCCTACAACCATCTCTGCCGGCTGCCGTTACCTACTCGCCCTTTTGCACATCTACAAGGGCAACGCCATGCTTGTCCATACATTGTTGCAACCTGGATTATGAAGTTACGACGCAGGGCACAGTGATATCCAGTGGTGTTAATGCCATGTGTTGGATAATTGCGGACCTCTCCATAGAGTGCGTGGAATTGCCATCTCGTCTGCGAGATACAACCGCCACTGCAATTACAACTTCTCCATCTACGCAAAAGGCTCAAAATCTGACAAATTGACACATCGGACCCTGATGTAATAGCATGCTTGCCAAAATGCACATTGCCAGAGGCTCCAATCAGGAGTCCAACGCCACCCAGGAACATGTTCTCTGTTGTGACTCAACCTTGTAGCTACTTGGGTGAAGAGTCAATGGATGCTCCAGACCCTACCACACACTGTCCAAGTATTGGACAGTTCGATGTGTGAGAACTGCATACTCTAGACACTTGAGCAGGCGAGCTTGAGCTGTTACACACTTGGCTGCATTGATGCCATTGGTTGCAACAGCAATCGCCACAGCCATGGATACTTCTTGTGCTGTTGGATTGATTCGCCCTCCGATTCTGGTGTCCTGGTGGACAATGAGAACTTGCGCCCTGGAGCAGTTTTCTTCATGGCAGGACATTGGAGAAAGCAGCTTGCTTGTCTATGCCTTCAGAAACATCATACCCACCACCATAACCCAACTGAAAGCACGTTGCAATTCAAGTACAAACTGGGACAGAACACCACGTAGCAAATCAGCACCACTCTTGTAACCTGCCTGCCTTTGGACAATCCACATAGCAACTCCCTGGAAGACAGGAAGGCCACAAGCCAGATGCATGTCCCTGCTAAATAAAGGAACAGAATGATGCACAAAGCATAACAGGAACAACAGGCCCCATCACTAACCAATTCCCATGCTGCACTCTTCTGCCCTGCATAGTCAATTGTTATCAATGGATTTCAGCTGGCTGAAACCTGCAGAGTCTGCCTCAGAGCCAACTGCCCGTTTCCCTCTATCCTCAATATGCTCACTGCTGCCAAGATACCAGCAATTTTTTGGCCGCACATATGGTCCATGGCAGCAGGCAGCAGCACCAATGAAGCGCCACCTGCACATGAACACTTTGGCAGGTTGGTGACGGCTATGTTGTTTTCAACAGCCAGTTGTTGTTTCCTGGTATTTCCTTCACTTGCTGCAAAAGTGCCAAGGTACACGATACAGGACAGTCCAGGACAAAAACAACTTGCAATTGTTCAAGTTATGCCCTTGCAAAGCATGATGGTGGCAATCAGAGCAAAATCTGCTGTGTCTTGAAGTGCACACCTCACCACAGCTTCTCAAGGTCACAGTCGTCGAAGAACTACAACATCGAACATTCACTTCAGGTTTCAAGCTATATGGCAGCACGAGTAACAGGCAGTGGCAACGCATTTCCTCTCCAATGCAGACTGATGTTGTAGAAATATTGACTCAGATATAGACTACGTAGACTGGCGGAAAACCCTCAAATTGAAGATGAAATTGCCAGCAGAAAAACCCAAATTGCGCTCCTTGATTTCCAGTTCCCGTTCCGGATCTGGTGGCACCAAACCGTTCCTAACGAGATCCCACCTGCGACAAGCTGCTTGTCAGGACAGATAGATCTATCCGGGACGGTAGAAGCAGCACGTTGGACTTCAGAGATTGTCGTTTATTTCTGCTGGGCATCCCGCATCGCGTGCACTTGCTGCTCCCGCTGTCGCACCGTCTTGGACAGAAAGGGCGCTGCAGCGATGCCCAAACCCAGCACGACCCCCAGGGCGACAAAGCGCGGGTTTGCGACCTGAACGGGCATATTTGTGCGACTGGCAGGCCTGTGGCGCCTTTGGAGAGCAGGCAAGCACTGTTGTCGACGAACACGGAAATGTAAGGTCCGGAGGGCACAGTCCGGGAGTACAGTCCGGGAGGGTGAAATTCACCACATAATGACCACTGCTACAACAGGTGGATCCGATCATCGGATTACATTAATTTCTTCTTTCGAGTCTCAAGGCATGCAACATGCTCCCCACAGGATGTTCTGAATTTGAAGCTGTTGGATTTTGCCTAAGCCGTGCCAAGCCTGGGTCTTTAACATCTCATGCAAGGTAGACACGGACTCTATCGGCGCGCTACAACAATATTCTGGTAATGTGGTGAAACTGAGACCTTTCTTTGCAACGCGCAAGAATCAGTGTCCAAAGGCACAATATTTGGGCTTACAGGGGATCTCAGAGCGCCAGAATGTCCCACAAACCTTTCTCGAAACCGTATAAAGAGTAGGCAAAAGTACAACCTTGCACAGCATCCCGAATCAGCCACACGCCTGGAGCTTTGTGCGTTGACTCTCAATACCCTTATCAGCACCAATGTGTTTCCAACAGCTACGCCCAGCGCACAAAACCTCAAGGCTTTGCAAGGCCTTCATATCCAATTGGGTGTGCCCAGCCATCCAACGGCGCAAGGTGCCTGCACTGCACCCAGAATGGCCATTGCCAAATCCACCATATACTCTCGAGTTTCGTATACGAATCACCCATTCCATATCATTCGTATAAAGCCCGGAAAAAGTATCATCTTACTCTATGTCCGTCGTCTGATCCCTAAAGATAAATTTTGCATGGCGAGAGACGCTTCCCACGTCGCGTTACAGCACACACGATGGACCTGATTGTTGTCATCACCTATCCCCCATGTGCCCGCCAGCCATCGACCTGTTTGTCGACCGGGTTGGCAATAGATTTATGCATGGATCCATGCACATTCTCGATGGCAGACAAAGCTGCGTAGGACGTCATGCCCCGTCTTGCAGGATCGAAAGGACTCCAGGCGTGTGGGCACTTCGTCCCACACGTTTCATGTGCTCACTTGAGCATGTGTGGTGACGCAGTCCCATAACAGATATATACTGAGCATACATGCCACATGCAATCTGCTGTGTCTGTGTGACACCACCCAGTTGACACTGTCAACTGCAGATACATCCGCAGCGGGCAAAAATTGAAACGCGCGCGTGGTACACAACTCACAGGTCTTGCAGTTTTGGCCATGTAGAAGTATTTTAAATTTTCCGGGTTTGCTCTTCTCCCATTGTTCCGTTTTTCATCCGGAATGAGGAAGATGTTGGCGCAGCATTGATGGCCCCTTTCGCAGCGAGTGTCTGAATCCATTGCCGAACAACGCTGCAGCAAAGCTCATGTGCCAGTGACTTGTGCCCACCAATCGTCATGGCTTTCATGTGCCTTGCAAGAAAAGGTGTCAGAATTCATTGACTGTTGGCACAAATGGCATCAATGGCATTAATTCCAACGGGAAGTTGATGTGCGAGGCTAGGTGCAACGGCATTTTGTACTGCATCGAAAAGTTCGGTGCGCCAACATTTCAACAATACCGCCCTTGTGTATGGATGGCCTTTTGCTTTCATGCGGTGCCACAATTTCGACGCATTCACGTTCGGATTATTTGGTGACCTGATCTGTGTCTTGTGTGCATGCGATCTGGTGTTGTCTGGCTTCTTCTGCAAAGCGATAGTATTTTGATGGACTTTCCTTCATTTTTCTGATTTCGACAAGTTTTTTTAACCAGCGATACTACAATTTGAGCCAAAAAACGTGAATGCATGAATAATCTACTAACTCAGGAATTCTGTGTTTAAATGGCGGCTTCGTAAGACCGGCCTGCTCTGTCGCCCCTCCTCACTGATGTCATTCTGCTGCTGCACAAGGTGGCTCTGTCCTGTATTGGCTGTTTTGTGAAACAACTCCCCTTGTATGCCTTGCGCTTTAGCCGCTTTTGGCTGATAGGGCGGCATTTCACTATTTCGCGCAGCGGTATTTGCTGGTCTCCGTCATGTGGTGATCGGTGAACATTTTGAGGCCATGAATTCGCTTCCAAGGGGCTGCTTGGGGGCTTTCTTCGTTTGCTTGGGGTCGTAGTGGGTATTTATAAAAGGGGAAGCAAGGTGCTTGGGCTCAGCGCCGACATCAGCAAGGAAAGCTGGTGATCGGACTTGGAAAAAGATACAAGTCGGTCCGTGTGTGAATTGTGGCGGCTGGACCACGTGATCGCTGGGTCTTGATCAACAGCCAGGGACCCAGGGAGTGGCCTCAGTGCCCTGTACTTTCACGCCTCTTGCTTTGGGCGCCTGTTTGGCCAGAAACCAGTGCCCCAGCTTCCTATGAAACTCCACAAAATGCCCGCATCCCAACACAGGATGCCGTCACTGCATCAGATGATTCTCCAAGACCACATCACCCTCCATCTCCTTGCTCCGCTGGCACCGGGCCATTCCCTGGCCCCCGCCCAGCCTCCCCGGCCGTCGCGACCTGCAGGCCCTGCCGCGCGGCCCGCCTCCGTCTCCCCCGCGCAATGGAGACGAGCGCGCTCGGCGTGGCGGGAAAGGCGCCGGCCACCTTTAGGCGCCCTGGCGCCAGGGGGGGCCCTGTGCCGGTACGCTGCGTTGATGGGGCCCAGAGGGAGCTCATCCTCCCCAAGTACTGCGAGCACAACCACAAAACCAGGAGGCGGCCCACCCGCACGTGCCAGGTGCGCGGATCGGCGTTTCAAAAGGCTGGTCGTGTCGCTTGGGGGCCCGGGGAGCGCGAATGTTCTGACAGCTGGCCGGGCGGTGCAGATTGGCAATGTGCCCGTCGGGGGGGACCACCCAATCGCGCTGCAGACCATGACGACCACGAACACGCGGGATGTCGAGGCTACAGTCGAGCAGGTGAGTGGGGAGGGAGGAAGGGATGGGTTGTGGGTGCGGTCCGAACGAGCGACGTCTCAACTGGTGGTGAAGACCACTTGAAGTGAAAGGCGAGCATGTCATCCAGTGGGTATCCTCCTGCGCGAAAATTCTGTGAGATTCGGTGGGACTCTGTGAGATCCTGTGGTGATCTTGTCACAACTTCGGACATCAGTACAGAAGTTCCCGTGTGAACGGGGCCGGTATGCATGCAGCAGTGAGTAGCACCCAAAACTGGACTTCTGGATGCAGAGAAAATCAGTGTGCGATTCAACGTGCAATTTTCCACGCTCAAGAATTTCAAAGGGTTGTCCACGCTGGAAGTTGGTTCTGAAGTTGGTTGGTATCCACCATGTGAAAGCAGCCAAGAAGTGACAGGCAGGGTAGAAATGCTACAGGCAAGGGCAGAGATAGCTTAGACACAAAGGGTTTGCCGTAAACCTTGGGCCAGTTGCCTTCCTGAGCTTGGTCAAGAGCAAGTTCATGGCACTTTTGCTTGTCAAATCAAATTCTTGAGGCATGTACTCTGGCAGTGGGGCATGGAATTGTGGTTGATGTCAACAGGTACCCTGGAGTCTTCTGGCACAGGGTATTCGATGTTTAGGATGTGCCAAAATGACAAGGTCGTAATCCGATGAACACTTCCTGAACAAAATTTTTCCAGTGCATGGTGTGAGCTGTGAGCTGGCAGCTTTGTTAGCTGCCCGCACAAGTCGATGCTGACATCAAGAGCTGAGGTTTGTTGTGTCCAACAAGTGCACAAGTTGTGGTTCTTGTCGAATTTCGAGTTGGTTTTTCCATTATCCGATTTTAACGGGGGGGTTGGCCTACTGCCAAGGCATTGCTGGCAAGCCAAGGAGTGTGTGAGAGTTTTTATGGCCATAACATACACAACCTGCAGCACTGCACACCCTCAATACCCAATTCTGTGGCTATCAGTGCTGTGTGCTGTAGTTCTTCAATCCCTGATGTGAGACTTCTGCATAATTAGGTGAAGAAGTGTGTTGATGCTGGGGCAAACATCGTTCGGATAACAGTGCAAGGGATGAAAGAGGCTGAGGCATGCTTCAAGATCCGTGAACAGTTGTTTAAGGACAGGTGATTCAGGGCGGGATGCAATGGGCTATCAGAACTGGTGGTGTCAATGTGTCAAGCTTGTAGACAGAGTCATGATTGTGGTTTTGTGCTTGCTGTTGGAGCTATTCCTTGTCAGAGCGATTGGAGTAATTTGTGAGTCCCTTAATGAACAGTAATGCAAAACAGAGAATGACGCTGGGGGAGAGGGGGACAGAAAAATATTACCGAATTGAAGTCTGCTGTTGGGGCACAATATTCCAAGTTGGATTCTTGGTACTGCTTTCATTAGGGAGGTATCTGCATCTCAATACCATCGATGTTGCAATTGTGGAAGGAGGATTTGTTCTCTGAAAAACATGCAGCTTCCCAATGAACTCTCCTGCACTTCATTTTGAAAGGGCGAGGCAGCAGCCCTGCTGTTGTGCAATGTTTGGCTGTCTAACCTAAAGCTTCATGGGCCATGCACTGTGAATGTGCTCTCAGGTAAATGAGACCTTGATTAACGCCCAGCCCAACTTCGAAGCCTAGAGATACTGTCCTAAACATGCAGTTGGTTGTCCTGGCCACAGGTATGATGTGCCCCTTGTTGCTGACATCCATTTCAGCCCAAAAGTGGCAATGATTGTTGCGGAGGCCTTTGAAAAGATCCGTGTGAATCCGGGCAACTATGTGGATGGTGCCAAGAAGTTCACTGTCATCGACTATGACGACCCAGCACAATTCGAGGCCGAAAGGCAGTACATTGAAGAGGTCTTCACACCGCTGGTGGAAAAGTGCAAGAAGTTAGGGAGGGCGATGCGGATTGGTACCAACCACGGGAGCCTGTCTGCACGCATTCTCAGTTATTATGGTGACACACCCAGGTGGGCACAGGAAACAAGTGTTTTGGCAAGTGGTGGCTGGTTTGTGACAAAGATAGTGTGCTGGCCACAGTTCATTTTAGAGGACGCTGGGGACGTTTGTACAGCCCTTTGTGTTCAGAGCCATGCGATCCCTGGTTTTTTCCACTGCAGCTGCCCAGCGATGCCATGCTGCAAACTCTGCATAACTTGCAAAACTTTGGTCATGTTGGAAGAGAGGAACAGAGGCGATTGGCTTGTTGGTTGTGACCAGTTGTATTCACACCTTTTGGTCAATACTCATATCGCACTTGGTGCACTTGAAGCTGAAGCTTTTGCTTTGTTCTTCCAGCATTTCTCTGTCACGTGGATTTGTCAATCATCGCTTTTTTTCTTTGTGCATCCCCTGTTGACTGTTGCCAGTTGTTTTTGTGCAGAGGCATGGTGGCATCAGCATTTGAATTCGCTGACATCTGCCGCAAGAACGACTACCACAACTTCCTGTTCTCCATGAAGGCTTCCAACCCACTGGTCATGGTCCAAGCGTATCGTCTGCTAGTGGAAGAGATGTATGCCAATGGTTGGGACTACCCTCTTCACCTGGGGGTGACAGAAGCAGGAGAGGGGGAGGATGGGCGCATGAAGTCGGCAGTTGGTATTGGCACCCTCCTCCTCGATGGCCTTGGGGACACAATCCGCGTCTCCCTTACTGAGGACCCAGAATTTGAAATCAAACCCTGCGGCGAACTTGCGACACTTGGGATGACTGCAAGCGATCAGGCAAGTGTGAGCAAGTGGGGTACTTGGGCTTCAGCTGACTTTGATGGGGCTTGCAACTTTGTACTTTGTTGCTTGAAATTGCCAGCAACATGTACTCCATTCCGGTGTGCAAGAATTGTGCACAAGTCCTTCACATGCATACTCCAAGGTTTGAAGAAACAGGCCACACAGACTGTGACTGTGACAAGAGGCAGCAAGACAATAGGTGCCGGGTATGAGCACAAATTTCGTTGCTGTGTGCTTCCACAACAGCAGTTTTACCATCCTTCCTTAGGCTGCCAATGCAACCACACACAGCATTGTTCAGGGGCATGTGGTATTTTGAGTGTCATCTCTATTTCCAGAAGTGCGGCTTCAATTCTGCTTTGTGGTACTACTGTCACATGACAGTGTCTACTTGAAATAGAAAACATTAGAAGTTGCACAGAAGCCTCTCCAGCAATTTCCTTGTCAGTGAGCATGCCCACGATTCCGTAATCTTTCAAGGGAATAGAGACACAGGGCCTTGTCCCTGGCCTGGCTTTGTCTAAGCCGAATGGATGTGACTCAAATGGCTGTGTCCTCGCAGGGTTGGGGAGTGGAGCCATTCGATGAACACTACCGTGACGTCCACCAGTTCACACGCCGAGTGGGCACCCTACCAGCCCAAAGAGAGGGTGATGTTGTGGACTACCGGCCGCTGTTGCACAGAGATGGCTCAGTGCTGTCCGCGGTGACGATGCAAGACATGCAGAACAGGGAAAAGCTGTACAGGGACCTGGGGTGCAAGATGGTTGTGGGGATGCCATTCAAGGACCTGGCCACTAGTGACACAATCTTTTTGCGGGAGATTCCGGCCAGCTCGGACGCAGAGGGCCGCAGGACGCTGAAGAGACTGCAAGAAGTTGGGTTGCATGTTCTTGCCCCAGCCGACGTGTTGGCTGCAGACCCTCTGCCTAATGCTGTTGCGCTGGTTCAACTCAGGGTAGGTATGGCTACAGGGGCTCCCAGGTGGCTGCTTTCCTGTGAAGAGTATTCAATGGCTGCATTTGTCAAAGCGTGACAAAACGCTGCGCTTCCAGCTTGTAGTTTTTTTTTGTAGATCAATTCGGGCTGTGTTCAGGGCTGTTTAGCTGGAGCACAGTGTTGGCATATTGTTGTCCTCTGTGCAACATCACCACACAGTTGCTGCATCGTCTTCTGTGCATCCTTCCTGTGTGCGTGCTCCCCATAATTCCACCCCAGTTGATTTGGAGTCTGGGGCAATACACTGTGCGGTGGATATGCATGGCTGGCTTCTTATAAGGCACAGCACCAGAGAGACAGGAGAGCTTGGGGTGGTTTGTTAGCATTCCTTGCAAAGAGCAGCTTTAAGTGTTCCTCTTGATTATGCTGCATGTTGAACAGCTCTCTTGTGATCAGCTGAAAGGCATCCCTGGATGGGGAGGTGTTGAATCTTGAAAGCTATGTGCTGATATGCGCTGCTTTGGGGTATTCACAGGATGCAGCTGGGGCACTGAACAATGGTGGACCAGTCCTCCCTGAGAGTGCTGGCCGGCTGGCGATCTCAGTGGACGGAACTGAGACAGATGCTGAGATCAGCTGCTTGAAGGACCTTGATGCTGTGATGGTGTTGTTGGACATTGCTGATGGTGTCAGCAGGGTGCATGCATCGCGACGGGTGTTCCAGATTCTGCAGCGCGAAGAGGTGTCAGTTCCAGTTATTCACCATTTCTGCTCCCAATCGCAGTCTGAAGAGTCGCTGATCATTTCCAGTGGTTCACAGGTGAGCCAGCATGCTCAGCCATGGACACACTAATTATAACACAGTAGTTCTGTGCATTGAAGTTGTTTGAGGCAAGGTGAGAAACAATGATGTCTCATTGTTCTGGCAGTGTGCTTGTGGCAGGGAAGCGGTGTGCTGGTCCTGAACCTTCCAGCTTGTTGATGTTATTGCTGAGAGTACAGTGTGCCCAGCACTATTGCTGGGTGCTGTGCACAACATGCTTGTTTGATGGGCCAAAAGTTTACTCCAGAATGCATTGGATGTTGGCAATTCATCGTTAAGAACTGCGAAAATTAGTGGGGGAACGTGGTATAGTATGGCACATGGGTTGATGTGCATATGGCTGTGACATTTGCCCTCTGAGTGCAGTGCGCTCCATAGGCACAGGGAACAGGCAGCCAGTGACGTTCATAAAAAACGAATCTTGAACATGTATAGTCAATGTGCTATGACAGCATTTTTCCCCGCCAAATGAACTGTTAGCAAATGTGTATTTCTCCCACACTTGCTTCAATAGAAATGGGTAACCATTGTTATGCGTGATCACACTGGTATTGGCATGAGCTGTCCAGGGCTATTAGCTACCATATATGTCCCCTGCAGCATAGCACAAGGACACTCGTGCCAGACGTTAATGTTCAGGGGCATTTGCTTTCATGGGCCAACATGAATGCCTGCAATCTGACAAGTTTGTGAGCACATTGGATAGCCTCCTGCTAGCCGCACCCCAGGTGACTGAAACCCACTGCATAGAGTGCCCCAGCATTACGGCTACCCAAGTAAAGGTGGACCATTCGAATGCATCACTCCCCATTGAAGCAAGAACAACTGATTTTGCACAAAAAGCTATGAAGCCCACGGCCCTGAGCTGTCTATTGGTTCCAGTACATCAAGCACGCCCAGCAGATCACCCCAGGGCCATTTACCGTCAATGTGACCCCAGTTCTATGTTGGTGCAGGTCGGCTGCTTGCTTGTGGATGGCCTGGGTGATGGAGTGCTACTTGAAGCGGCCGACCATCGCCTGGAGTTCTTGCGAAACACATCTTTTGGGATGCTGCAGGCCAGTCGGATGCGCAACACAAAAACCGAGTACGTGTCCTGCCCCTCCTGCGGCCGCACACTCTTCGACTTGCAGGAGGTCACAGACCAGATCAGGCAGCACACTGGCCACCTGCCTGGCGTTGCCATCGCTGTCATGGGGTGCATCGTCAATGGCCCTGGGGAGATGGCCGACGCCGATTTTGGATACGTTGGTGGGGCGCCAGGCCTCATCGACTTGTACGTTGGAAAGGAAGTGGTGCGGAGAGGGGTGCCCATGGACCGTGCCTGCGATGAGCTGGTGGAGTTGATCAAGGAGCACGGACGTTGGGTGGAGCCTGACACAGAGGATGAGGATGCACAGGAGGAGGCCATGGCGATGGCAAAGTAGGTGTGGTGCTGTTCAACTGGACGTCAAGGGGTGTTTGGGACAGTTTTGGAACTGGGATTCAGGTACCAGCTATTGACGGCATGGTTGTGTCTGAATTGGGAATGGTCCACAGGTCTGCTTGTGCATGCTTAATTGGCATGGATGCTCCAGCCCTGCAACACATGCATATCTGGGCGCAGCTTGACGACTAGTGTACAGGACATGAGGGCATTATGCCCCGCAGCTTTTGGCCGTCATGGAAATGTGCTTGGTCACATGGGTTGTAATACGGCATTGTTTCGCTTTTGGTGGTGGTTAGACCTGTGTGTTCCGAAAATGGGGCATGCAGTGGTGTCAGTGGCCCTTGCTTTGGACACTGGAGATCGTTCTCTATGGAGTGAACATGCCAGGCTGCGATGTGGAGGTAGTGACCAAGAGGACTTGAAGCACCACCTGAACTTTGCCAAGGTCATCCCTATCACGAAACGTCGCTTCGTCTGGACGAGCGTGCCAGTCAGGGGGGTTGACCCAATCCCCCTGTGCTCGCTCTCTGTAGCCCTTTCGTATCCTCTGCACATCCACCATGCTTCATTGATCGCCATCGCCCTGATGGCTGCTGCTCAATAGGCTTTTCACAGATTTTGTGTTGTTGCATGTTTAGCACGTTGTATTTTGCCCATGTTTGCATATTGCGAGCGAGCCAATGGGAAATGGCGCTACTTAAGCACTCATTTTCTCTCTGTATAGCTGACGTCAGGGGCCCAAAAGAAAACCGAGTTGCACCCATACTGGAACACGGACAGCCACAGCATTGCAGGGATCCCTTACCCCCTTCCCCCTCTTGATGAATCCGAAATTCCTTTGGTGCATGCAACTTCAGGTGGCCGCGTTTCAAGCAAAATTCCCACAATGCATCGTGGGACCTTTTCTCATAAGCGGGGTCTGCCACCACCCAACAGCGGCCCAATGGATCCATGCCAATCAAGGCATTCAGCCTGGAGGTGTACTCGGCCATTCAACGCATTTGTTGTGTGGGATCGGGCCCACAGGCCCACAGACACATGTTCTATCACCACCATTCATTTCTACAAAACAGGGCAGTGTTGCCTCATGTTCTATCAGTCAAAACTTGAGCATCTCAGACAGCAGCAAGCAAGAGCAAGCAGGTCCTTGCGTCGAGTCAACCGCTGCCAGCTTGCCGTCGTCCCCGCATCCCATGACGTGGTCCAGCGCCACAGAGGCGGCCGGGCCCGCGGAGGGCGTCGGCCCCCAGGACGCGGTGGTGTCGCGTCTCGTGGCGCGCATCGCGGAGCTCGAGGACCAGCTGTACTTGCCGCTGCTGCGCGCCCCCCACCAAGCCCATGCCCCGGGGGGCGCCTGCGAGGGCCTGGCGGGCCGCATCGCGTGCCTGATCGGCAGGACGGTGGACGTCATAACCGGCGCGGACGAGTGCCGCCAACGCACCGGGGGATCCACGTGCGAGGTGGTGTGGGAAGGGGACACCCCCCTTACGGGGTCGGGGGAGGAGACGGGGGCGGATGGCCGGTCAGCGGGCGATGGGGACCCGGAGACGGCCCGTGGGGGGAACCCGGAAAGCGGTTCGGCGAGATCGCAGCATAAAAGGATTGCGGATGGAAGCGGAGGGGGGGAAGGGGCGGTGGGAAACCAAGGGGAATGCCGAGGCGGGCAAGTTGAGGGAGCATCGGGGAGCTTTGGGGGCCCTACGAGTGCTACCGGGACGGAGGGCAAGCTCGAGGCGGCGTTCGCGGAGATAGAGAGATTGAAAGGGGAGGTGGACGGGGCCCGGAGCAGGCTCACGGGCGCGGAGGCGGCCCTGGGCGAGGCGCGGGCGGACGTGGCGATGTACCAGGAGCGGTTCCTCGCGGAGCGGCGCGAGAGGCGGCGCGTGCACGACGAGCTGCAGAGCCTGAGGGGGAACATGCGCGTGCTGTGTCGGGTTCGGCCGCCCGCCGGCGGGGCGGAGGTCAGCGTGTGGTCGCCGCTGCCGGGGGCGCTGGTGGTGGCGTCCAGCAGGAGTCGTCGGGAGGTGGAGTTCGAGTTTTCCTGTGTGCTGACGCCTTCCGCCAGCCAGCAGGACGTCTTTGCGGAGGTGGGCTGCGGGCGTGCAGCAGATTAAGGACACTTGTTTGCTCATGGACAGTGCTTTGCTCGGGCGAAATAGGACGCCGACGGCTACCTCCTTGCTTTGTTCTGCAAAAATGAGTGATGAAAGGCTGTCACCTCGTTCATAGTGGATACAACGCAGTACATCAATGCTTATTCAGGCCGCGGTGAACGAGTGCCAGCTTAGCACACAGCGACAACCAGCGCAGGATGTGCGAACGTGGCATACAAGGTGTGCAATAGTGATTGATGTTTGGCTCCACAGATTCCTGCTCGTGCAGCATGCCTCGAATAATCCCTGGGCGCAAGTTTTACTAGCTCCGCTTCATGCTGATATGTGTACGGGCCGGACTTTGGGTCCCGCCGCCGATCCAGCAACATGGCGACTCTGTCCACTGATACATTGTTGTCGTCGATCGAGGCTTCAAAGGAACGATGGTTTGAAACGCGAAAAGACGAAATTTGAAAATCGCGATTGTGGCCTCGCCCTGCCACACGGACACAGTACTGGTGGCCACGATCTTGTCTGATTTTTTCCGGGACGCGGCCGTTTCAGACATGGACAAACAGCGATGTTCACTGACGTCCACTGCTCACCGCGCACCGCACCGGCGCCCTCAAGTAGCCCAACATTGCCATTTCTGCACTCACAGGTCCATCCCTTCATCCGCTCGTGTGCGGACGGCCACAACACGTGCATCATGGCGTACGGGCAGACGGGCAGCGGCAAGACATACACAATGGAAGGGCCGCCACACTCCCAAGGCATAATCAGCCAAGCCCTGGAAACGCTGCTGTCCATGGACTCCCAGGACTCCGTAGCGACAGTGACCATTTCCATGGTGGAGATATACAACGAGGCCGTCAGAGACCTGCTGGCGCCGTGCGCCAATGGGCCAAAGCCTCTGGAGGTGTCCGGCTTGAGCTGCGGCCAGGGGGATCTCGAGGTCGAGAGGATTCCAGGTCTCATTTGGAGGGACGTCGGTGGGTCCGACGACCTCAGGCGCGTAATGAGGGAAGGCTCCAAGAACAGAGTCACGGCCGCGACGGCTCTCAACGCCCACAGCAGTAGAAGCCACACTGTGGTGTTTGTGCGCCCTGTGCCGCGCTGGTGCCACACAAACGGAGACACTGTCCAATCTGGCGAATCCTCAAGGCGGCCGGGCATCCTGTGCCTTGTCGATCTTGCAGGTTGGTGTGGAGGCCACTACGATTCGCTGCGATCCGTCGTTGGTCACGACGCAAGTTCCGGACATTTCTTGGCGGCATGCCTGGTAGTGCCGCCTGCCATTCCCCATGGCATGCTGAGGCAGCTCATATCTCATGACGGACCTGACATTCCAGATCACCGTCTGCGCCAAAATTTTTCATCAAAATTGGAGATTTGATGGCGAGGGTCGACAAAGTAATCTCCCCCACAAAAGCGGGAATGGCAGTGCCAATACTGATTTTCGACAGGCCGTTGAATGACCCACTCCTAACCCGTCCCATCTCGCTCGATGCAAGGTTCAGAGCGCGTGGACAAATCCGAGGCAAAAGATGAGCGACTCAGGGAGGCACAGTGCATCAACAAGTCTCTGTCGGCGCTGGGAGATGTTATCAGCGCCATGCAGCATCACAGTCCCCATGTGCCCTTCCGAAATTCAAAGCTGACACAGGTTAGTTCAACCCGAGCACCGGGCGCTACGAACGCGGCCGCATTGAACAGCATACAGCACTCTTTCACCCTTAAGATCGCTGCCATTGAAGTATATGATAGATGCAGGCCATGGGATGCAGAGCATGTGTTGTACAGTAATTCAGCTCCAGAATGTTGTTCTCCGTAAACCAACCAACCACCCATCCACACACACACAGAGACAGCTGTGCATTTGCAGCATGACAGACGATGCTGCATCTTGGGGAAACATGTTGAGTATACGAGATTAAATATCCTGTTAATATGTTTCCACCAAGGACAACGTTGGGAGGGCTGATCTGATGATTCGAATCGGTAACAATTGAATTCAAACGGTATCTGGCCCCTCTATTACCTTGTGTCAGCTAAAGTACACATTTTCCAAGGTGACGTCAGTTGGCGCCCTGGTACTTTGGCGGGCTCTGGCGGGGCTGAGTGGGGGCGGCTACTTAGGATTCCCCCTCGGTCCCCTTCTATCTCGTTTTGCTTCACGCCAACTCGTTGCACAACCCGAAGGCACCGAGTGCCTTGCCTTCCCGGCCGTTTTGGCCACGTCCTTTGCATGAACTGGACGCCTGCCAAGCTGTGGCTCCACGACCAAGCCGTTCAGTTCAACGACGGTCTGCCTATGGCTTCCCTCGACGCCGTTTGGCTACTGGACCCCTAGATTTTACCGCGGTCGGTCACCAACCTGGTGGTCCGACGGCCAGGGGGTCCGCTTCCTCGAGTGGTTCGAGGTGAGGCAGACTTCCGAAGGTGCACAACTTGCGCAATCGCTTGGGACAGACTCTGGCTACTCCCATGAGTACCAAAACTGGGGGCCCTACATCGCATGGCTCTTTGACGTGACCTCCGCTCTGACCGACTTCGCAATGCATCAACACCTACCCATCTTTTGGGACGCTCTTCTGTTGTACCTCCATGCCCTCATGACGATTACGACCAGATTGCAAAGCCTCGTCCGGCTCCAATAGGTCCACGGGGAGCAGAATGTTAGTGGCCTGTGGCAAGCGCTCCAAACCAACTTCGGTTGGGCGCGGTGCACCAGATATTCTGGAAACCCTTGATTGACAAACCGCTGGGGCACATCAAGAAGGAGGCGCTCAATCAGCAACTCAGGTTGGAAACCAAGTCCGCGGGGGCACTGACCTTCAGCGTCAAGCATTTCAAGGGGAAGGTGGCCAAAGTTGTGGTGGGAATGGGAGCACCTCCACCTCCCAAGCCATCCGCCTAGAGGATGCTCCCTACGCTTGCTTATAGAGACGCCTTGCCATGTGGAGACACGTCGGCACCCTGCCTAGAGTCCCTCAATAGATCCACATAGGGCCGCTACTTCAATGGGAGCCGACGGGCCCCCCGGCTCCCTCGATCAAGGCGAATACCCATTGATGAATCCTGGACCGGAGGAGTGGAGTGCCTGGCGGGTACTGCGGGACGACTACCTCGTGACTGGAGCAATCGTGTGGATGGCCCCCTTTACCAACGCCCAAATTTTTGCGGGCTTTCTTTGTGGCCAAACCCGTGGAGAATGGAAGCCCAAGTACCTTAAGTCACCGACCTTTGGTGCATCAATCGGCACCTGAAGAAGGTCGGTCTCCATTATGAGAAACTTCGTGATTTTGCATTATATTTAAAAAAAATTAGTGACTTATTGAGGTTTGATATAAATTTTGCTTATCACCATATTCGAAGGAGAGCGGATCAGGAACATTTTGTACAATTATTGATGGAAAGAGGGATCTTTGGTTGTAGGGCTTGCCCGTTTTGTCTCTCTCACGATTTCGCTTTACTCAATTGATATTGGTAGTGATACATTTTTTAAGGC